GCCATCGGCGCCTTGTTTGTCATTCAAAGAGCCTGTTGGGTGGGTGGGGGGGGGGGTTATCCTGTGCAAACGGTTTCCTTGTCGGCTTTGCTGGTTACATGGCACCTCTTGAAATTCAAACAGGAGAAAGGCAAGCGTCACGCGCGCGTACATTGTTAGCCTTCTTGCTTTGAGGCGTGAAGCAGCCGATGGCTTCGCCCTTCCCAGAGTCCTCAGCTCGGCTCGGTCCCTCCAGGCGAATCAGAGCTGAGGGCGGCATCTCACTGTACAGCTGGTAGGAGAGGTTCCTCAAGACACACACTGCATTTTCCACCCCCTGAAAGAAAGACACACACACACACACACACGCACACACACACACACACACACACACACACACACACACACACACACACACACACACACATCAAGAACTGCAGACCATAAAGGGACAAAGTGGTTGTCAGCTGCGAGCTCAGGTGCACTCACCTTGTCCTCCGCCTTGTTCTCCTCCAGCGAGGCCTTGATGTAGTTCACCAAAGAGTCCACCAGCCCGTGGGTTTGTCTCATCTGCTGACGGGTCTTTTCATTCACTGAGCTCAGATTCCTGCCAAATGCGCGAGACGGCACGATGAATAGAAATGCAGGCTTCTCTTTACCGGGGTTGGGTTGTCATCGATTTGGATTTTTCATGATTGTTTGTTTGTTTTAATGCTTCATTTTAATTTAGCTTGTATTTTGTATTGTTTTAGGAGCGTTTTTTTAAAATACATTCGCTATTTGTCTAGTGCATAATAAAAAAAAAAAGGGTCACTAAGTATTGTGTAATAAACTATAATTCTCAAACAACTCTTTCTGTAGCTACGGATATTCAACAATACCGAAATAAATACATTTAAAACAAACTCTGAAAGCGCATCTATGATAATAATTGACAGAGACAATGCTGAGCACATTTTCACTATAATTTGTTAGGTTTTTGTTTTTTTGTTTTTTTAAATAAGATGTAGTTTTAGTTTTCATTTTTTAAATTTTATTTCATTAACAAAAATGCTTTTTTGATTAGTTTTACTTGTTTAATTTTCACTATAATAATCTTGATCTTTACTACAACTTTATCGAGTGCATGTGTGAAGCCTTTTTGAATGACAAGCAATGCGAAAATAATTAGGAATGTTCGCACAGCTGAACTGATTGATCAAAGTTTTCAGAGTACAAATTGGTACGTTACAAAGATAAATTTAAGTACATGAAGTTACAATTCGACAATACAATCAATATAATCTTGCACAAATACAATCGTAACACTTTTATGAATGGTCTTATCAAACAATGCAGCACTACAAACAGTGTGATAAGAAGTGCCTCTCAGCTAGGGTTCACGTCGAATAATTTCTTTATTGTTAGTTTTAATTTCATTCATAAATTGACTTCTGTTGACTTTGTATTTTTCACACGTTTGTTAGTTTTTATTACTTTTTATTGTTTTGAAAATGCTTTGTTTTAGTGTAGTTTTCAAAAGCTGAGAATTTGATTTGATTTTTTTCATATAAAGGAATATTTGCTGCGTGCAACATACAAAAAAAAAAGGTCACAATAGGTATTGTGTCGTAAAATAAAGAATGCTTATGAATTCAGAAAGCTTTGAACAGGTATTTAGAGATCTTACCTTTGATGTGTTAACAATTATTCAAAAGATTACCTGACTTCTTTTTGTCACATTAAAACTTATTACATAACTGCAACTTTATTCTCACTATTTTGTGGCTTTATACTGGCATATTTTCTTTTCACAGAGACCTTAATACTCCTTTGTGCACATACAGGTCTGATAAATGACTGCAGCACTGGAACGTTTCGACACCCAGTTTGCACACAAACAACGAAACTAAAGTAATTGCAGGGCTGCAGTGCCGCAAGACTTTTGGCACCCAAGGAATGATAAAAGTGCCAGAAGTCGTGCTTTCGACAAAAATTTTAAAAAATGGTGAAACACAAAGACATTTGGACAAACCAAAACAAATATCGAGTGAGGCGCACCTGAGGCAGCCGGTGGTGTTGTAGAAGATTTCCGCCTCGGAGGCCGACTGATTGATGCCTTCCGAGCCCTCGCTGCCCGACAGAGGGATGAGGATCTTATCGGTCAGATCCGGAAGAGCCTCTCGAGCCAGTTTCTCCTTCAGGGTGTCTTTGGATGAAAGGTTCCACAAGATGCCTGCACAAACACACGGGGAGCAGGTGCAAAGGTTATTGGTGGGCGTCTAAAATGCAGTTGAGCTCATGTTACGTAACTCTGCCGCTTGGTTCAATTTTTTTCTTTTGACAGAAGATAAAATTTAATTGAACTCAAAATTCCACCAGGTGCTTTTATTTTGAAGTCCAGACGTTCACGCGAACCAGGAGGGTAGCGGTTATGAATTAAAACCCGTCAAACTGTCTTAATTCCTTCATGTGCAATCATTGATGTTACGCAACGGTGCATCAATATTACTGGCCGTGGCCACACAATAGACAGAACTTCAAAGTGTCAAGAAAAAGCGTTAGAATGCACGAGGAAATCTATTATTCATTTGTCACAGATCAACAAAAAAGAGGAGCCGAGACTCCATTTTACTTTACTACAGGTGCTGCTACGTGGTGGCTGTTCAAAAGGGAACATCTAATCCATGTTATGACAAAGAATAAAGACCGACAGAGAATTCGAGCGCAGTCGCTAACCTCTCAGTGTTGTCTTACTGACTAAGCGTACGTACACATCAAAAAAGTGAAAAATGCCATAAATGAGAGTGGCAGGTATGCTGGCAGTCCGCAGCGAGAGAAAATTTCCTCACATGCTTCTTGGTGAAATGAAGGCTACATTTGCCTTAAGTGACAGACTCTTAAGTTTGCTCCTTGTAAAATCAATACTAAAGGGCTCCACAGGCTCGGTTAGGAAGAATCCAAGAGATCAGGTTACTTCACTCAAGTTCAAAATGGAGGAGATGAGGCCAAAAGAAAAAAAAAAACTGAACAAGCTCTGCATGTCACATCACGCTCCGACTGCAAATTCCTACCGGTGATGTTCTTTTGGAGCTCGTCGTCAGGCTCCTTGAGTGCCTCCACCAGCTGGGGGATGCCGCCCTCCTCGATCAGGGCCACCTTGTTGTCCATGTTCTCATAGATGAGGTTGCGCGTGGCGCCGGTGGCATAGCGCTGCACTTCCTGATTCTCGGAGTTGAACAGCTTCACCAGCTCGCTGATGCCTTTGGATTGACGAACCTTGAAACCAGGTGGGAGGAATTGACATTAATTCGCGTTTGGGTCATGCCATTTTCTGAAATAAAATTAAATTCAGGTTCTTCAAATATTGAAATCGCCTACATACGGGATGTATAATATATTAGGCCCCAGCCCATATGGATTTTTTATTTTTTTAAATTTTTTTTAGGCTGATGCCGATTCCAGTCTTTGGCAGGAAAAAAAAAATCTGACGACTGATTAGTCGGCCAATTATGTTTAAATAATATATAACAAATAAAAGAACTGCTGACATGAGTTATTTGATTGTTTTACAATATTTTTTAATGTTACAAAAAACTGGGAATTTTTAAGAACAAACACACACAAAAAGCATGGACTGTTGGATTCAGTTTAAGAAGCAAGCACAGAATGTATGCAGTAAATAAAAGTGGTGACTTCAAAAAAAACCTTCCTCACATGCCAAAACATGTCCGCTTTGACAGAGTTGTATTTGAAATATCTGATGCACATAGAAAGAGTTAAACGAAAACAGGAGCACATTTCACATGATTGAGGAAGTCGAAGCATTAATAAAAATCTTATCAACATATCATATTGGACGATGTCCTTTGGGCCATAATTAAAATATATTTTTTAATCTGGTTGATGGCATCTATTTTTGGCCTGAACTAATAAAAATCTTATCAACATATCATATTGGACGATATCCTTCGGGCCATAATTAAAATATATATTTTTAATCTGGTTGATGGTATCTATTTTTGGCCTGAAATTACTTAAATGGTCAAGCCCACACCATTCCTTTCCTGCAATTTTAGTGGGGAGGAAATAAGAGACCTCTAACCATTTATTTCAAATGTTAACCACTGCGGTCCTCAGACGTGTCTTCCCAACACTAAACGAGCTGAAAATAGCGAAAATGCGCTTGGCTAAACAGGGCCAAGTGAGCTGCTAAAAAAATGGTTTCTTACTTCACCAAGTATGCCTGCCATTTGACACCTTCGTGTTGACTGTTAAGACATTAAACAAAATGACAACAGCAGCAATATATGGAAGGCTCCCAACGAAATGCAGAGCACTACTTCCAACACGATGGGGGCAAAATGAATGTCTGTGGTTCGAATTCCTCGAAAATATGTTCCAGATAAATTTGCCAAAGCAATTCCAAACCACGAGGCTCATCTGTTCGTCATACCTCATTTTTTGCGTCGCTGTCGTTATAACACTCGTGTTGAATGTAAGCAGCACCCAGGACCTGCAAATCGGGGTCCGGTTCTCTCAGGTATTGGACAGCTCTGGCCATGTCCAAAGTTTCGATCCTGTTCGAGAAACACATGGGAACTTAGACAAGACAGTAGCTGTTGTTTCACAAAAAAACACAACTTTCTTTCTCTTTAACAAGCAACAGCTATGACATTAATCTCGGGAGAGATGTTGGGGTTTTCTTATTGCGCAGTTTAGTGTGATGAATTGCAACTAAATCTCACAGATGTCTGCAAAGCCACTTGGCTAACCGCACCGCGTGGGATGTGTGAAACGCGAGCTACCACACCCAAAACCAGTCCTACAGCTATGAAGCCAGGTCACAATCCATCGTGCTTACTGTTAACTCACAGCATTGCAAAACACCCACATTGGAAAGATGGGGGTGCGGGGGTGTCAGTTCAGGCAAAGTCACATGACCCGCTCCCCCACCTGTACAGGAGGCAAAACTCTCATTAGTGAGAGCACTCCCACTCCTAATTCCCCCCAAAATTGATATATTGCAAAAACGCTGTCTTGAAATGAACATTTGCAACCACCTACAAGTTAGCTTGTCTCCAATTGGTGAAAAAAATATGACAGATTTGCTCCTGAGGCAGATAACATGGCTATCTAGCATAGCTAACATCAACTTATATCCTCTTTGATGTTACTTCTCAGAACTGAAAAGAGCAAAGGAGTAACTTCACCATTTCTAGATTTTTTGACAGATTCAAGGAACCAACATATTAAATATAACAGTCTTGAAATAAACAAAATAAATAACTAGCCACAATCGACCTCAAGTCAGGTAACATGGCTAACTAGCATGGCAACAGCTCATTTTGGCTGAGACGTTCCTTCATAAAACGGAGAAGAGCAAGGAAGTATCTCTTAATTTTCTGAGATAGAATTAGTTTTACTGCTGTACTACATATTCATTTTATTCAGGAAGATTGTTTCTTTTATTTCACCATTCACTTACTATCCCAAATATTCCACATGTTTAAAAATAAAACAGATCGCCTTCAATGGAAAAATGTGTTATTTGCTCAAACTTTTAAAAACCATACTTTTTAGAGCCGTAATTGCATTACCGTGATATTATGGAACCGCAACATATTTGCTCACGGTTAGCATCCCGTCGGAATCCGATACTTGGGCCATGTCTTGGATATACCACCGGGTACAGTTTGGTACTGATCCAAATTAGGATTATTAATCTTTAAAAGCAGTCTGTGATCATCGAAGTGAAAATTGTATACAGTCTTGTACCCAACAAATCCTCACAGGGAGAGAATTCAGAGGTAGAACAACATTTACACCTTTACAAATGAGAATTTAGGAACATTTGTAAGAAATAATGGCGAGCGTCTTACCCGTTGAGGTTTCCCATGCTTCCCATCCCCATTTGCCCGTTGAAGATGTCGACTCCTCGGCCCACGCTCTGCATGCTTTTGACAGACATGGCCCGGGACATGGTGCTTTGACGGCGCTGCATCGTTAGATTCCCCTGGGAAGCAGAGGACATTCCTGGCCCTATGAAGCCCGAGTCCATCTTATCGACTCCCCCTCCAAACATGCTGGACGCGCTTGACATCTGACGCTGCAGGGTCCCCGACATGGAGCCCATGCTCATGCGGTTTCGGTTGTTAATCCTGCTGATGGTGCGGTACGCCGGGCCTTTGTAGGAACATTGCTGGACCATCCCCATGTCCATCTCTGGGCCACGTGGAATAGTGCCGCTGTGAGATCGACGCATGGACCCCGGAAAGGTCATGGTTCCTGCCCCTTGCCTCACTTGGCCAGTGTAGCCATTGCTTTGAACGTAGTGGCGGCTGAACCCGGCCTCGCGGTCGGAGGCCATGCTGGCGCCGTCACTGCCGTCCACCATCCAGGCATTTGTCGGCATTGTCTGCTGTCTCATAGCATGCAGGGAGACGACTTCGGGTTGGTGCTGGTTCCCTTGGTAATTGCCCATGTGGACATCTTCACGGTAATAACCGCCGCCGCCCCCGACGCGTCCGCCGCCAACGCTGATCCTGGAGTACTGGGCCATGTCTGGGCCGGCTGAGAGCGAGCTAAAACCAGACCTCTGCGAGATCTGGGGCGTCTGGAGACGAAGCAGAGAGCAAGTGTTAGACTTCAGCAATGAGGGAGTGTTACTTATTCTGATCTGTGTGCTGCATGTGTGGGAGAGTGTGTATGTGTCACTCAATGCAGTGGAATCATCATCGGTTTCCCAATATCGTAAAGGGATGTGACAACCACGACGCAGAGGTTATTGATTAGTCACAGGTTCGACATACTCTCAAATTTCATGTCAGCATTAAATCCAGACAAACGAACCCGGTGGGCTCCTGCAAAAAGAGCGAAGTTGGAATCTAGAGGGTGGATTTGAAATCCCTGGACTGATTCTTTCACAGCGCTCTGTGAAATACCACAAGTGCCAGGAAAGGGATGGCTCACCCTTCACAAAATAGATGAATACAAGCTCGTGGTGAAATACTCACCATTGTCCTGGAGCCTGAGAACATGTAGGACGACTTGGAGCTGTAACCTGGATTGTACGTCTGGTATTTCATGGTGGAAGACCCACCGTAGTCTGGAAGGAAAACAAATACGGTTACACGTCGGTACTACAATATCACAGCGATGTCAGTTCTACGGGCGCACGGCAACCACCTGACATGCCTCTTAAATCTTACACCACAACTTTGCACATGGCTGAACAAAAAAATGTGCACGTAGAGCAGGAAATTTCACGTTTCTATTTGAAACACATTTGTTATTTGAAATAAGGATGGCAGCGTAGTCCTTTTGGTTGCTGCGAAACGTTTTAGTGGCTGAAAAGCACGACGAGGGCGGGAGGGATTTCAAACAGGTCAAGGCAGGAAAAACAACAAAGACAACGGAAGGCCTTTCCCAAAATGCGCTCTCCCACGCACTTAACTTACCATCACTGTTTCTGTTCAGATGAATTTTCCCCCTTTTTCTTTTTTTTTGAGCAAGGCGCTCCACAACTGACTCAGCCTCTGATGATGTTCTTTTAGCGGGCTACTCAGAGGTCAAAGGAGGTTAGGGAAAAAAAATGACTCATGCATTTTTTACATTTCTGTATGTGTAATACGGACTCAGCAGTAAGGCTGAACAACTTTGAGGATTTTTTTTTTCCCCTAAATATTGTGACTGCGATTTAGTATGCAATTTACTTTTATTTTTCACGGTCCTCTTCATGTATTATTTTTAACAAACAAAAACAATACATCAATCTGCATAGTAATAAACTATATTAGATTTATTCGACATAAATGTTTTGGTCTGATAGCTTAGGCTTACGCTAAAATAAAGGCAAATGAACTGTGTATCAAAATGAAAGTTTATTGATCGACTTCAATTAAGAGTCGTTAGTTACTAAACTATTTGACTTTCAATCTTTTAATTCAGTCCAAACTACACTTTTGTGTGTGAGAATAAGCATTCTATTAAAAACAACAAATACCACAATCCTGATGAGAAGGAGGCTTAACTGCCATCCTTGAGGATTCAAGTGCATGCGCTGGGGCAAAAATTTTATCCTCTGACATTTGTTTACAGTTTACAACTAAAACACCAACACTCTCCCCCACAGCTTTCTCAGCGGTCTTTTTCCACAACACAAAACAGGTCTGTGTTCAAAAGAAGTGGGTCAACGGAGGACAGCAAAGCCTCCGCAGTACTGTAAAGAGGTGATATTCTATTTAGTTCCGCCATATTTGGCTATCACGAACACCTCGCGGGCACGCTACTAACAAAAGACTTGGGACACACCTTGTAATCATTGAATGAGGCCCTTTTTGTCTCCCGGCGCATAAAGCGAGCTTCATAAAGACATGACTGCTTGATTTTTTTTTTTGGCGTTGAAGAACTTAACTTGTGGTGAAAGGCTCCCAAATACTTTTGTCATTCTAGTTACACATTTGCAACCGTAAGAGGGAGCAGAAACTTCCAAGAGTGTGTCAAGTCACCTTCGGGGGTATTTAGTGTTGCGCCACTTAACTGTCTTTTTCGCTTTAAGGCAAAAATGTCAATTAGCAAGTCAAACAAAAGTGGGATTGTCACACTCGGTGTGATAGTATTAGAAGTCCTAATGGGGACTTGTGCTAACGTCTTTTTGTCCAGTCCAAACATGTCAGTTTGACTCATCACCTGAGAACAAAAGTGAAATGTGGAGTCACTTCATGCGTGACGCCAAGTGGACACGCATACAAACACACGACAAACCGGTCTGCAAAGAGGAGAATGACAACTCCCCCACCCCTCCCCCCGGCAACGCCCAAGCACGCCTGAGACGTCGCACATAAAATGCACGAGTCACTCTTTCAAACTTGAAAAATATTTCATTTCTCCCCCTCTTCAACGTCGTCATTGACGGATGCCGAAGCCTCCCTCAGACGCTGATATTTACAGGAAGCTTGTACTACACGGGAAGCAGAGGAGGGCTTTCTTTGTAAATTCCTATTTTGAACACTCGCTCCTATTTTCTTCTGAATGGGCGTCTCCTTAGCCACCGCTTGCCTGTGCTGTGTCTTGTACACGTTGCAAATGTGGATGCATGATTTGCTCAACCTGTGACTGGAAGAGGCCCTCCCCGCAGAGCAGCCAGGTTTGCATCAAGCAGTACAAACTGGTTCCAAGTTGACCCAGTTGAAACAGCTTGAACCAAAAGACAGAAGAGAAGATACAACAAGCTGCTGTATTCCAGCCATTTAGGAGGATACTTCTAGTGTACAAAAAAAAGACATTGCACAGAAGTTACCTGAGGGGCTGATGAAGCTTCAGCTATCATTGGACAAGCAATAATTTTAGAAAGGTCTCATGAGCACACAACGTTCTTGGTTAAAAGGCAACAAATGATGGGATGCGAAAGAATGAAGTGGCGCCAAGGTGAACGAAGAAAAAATTGTCGAACGTTCACTTCTCAGTCTCAATTGGTAAAGCTATATGATTTTAGGGACCTTCGATACCACTTTTTTGCTAGACCGATACCGAGTACTCACTGATACAGAGTACCGCTACCTCTAGAATGTTTTATTTCAATTACCCCCGAAATAAAGACATTTAAAATTTACTGTCACCGAAAACTCATGTATGAAACTAACTGACAAAAATGAAACCGAAGAACATTTTAGCTGTAGCTGAATACTTTCATAAACGGAAAATGTAGTTTCAGCTCTTTTTTTAAATACAGTACTCTTGTTTTGAATTGATTTTGTTTACGGAAATGTTTTTTCAATTTTAGTTTTAGTTATTTTGTTTCATTTCAAAACCCATAATAATCCCAATTCAGTCCCGTGGCTCGTTTTTCCATGTTGTATTTTTGATCCGAGCCTAAAATTAAAATACAACCATTTGTTTTTAAATTCTTTACATAAAATGAAATAAACAAATCACAAAATAATTAGTCAATTTTTCATTCTTCAAATGCCAATTGAAGTTTTTTCATTTTCCATGACCAATTCAAAATAGAACAAATGATACACAGCTTAGGGAAGTCTACTCATGACCTTGCACTTCCCTTTTGGAGTCCCCCAGTTTATGTAACCACCCCACTGTGACGTGCCCATGCACAAGCTTGTTGACATCACATGCGTGCTCATTAATTAACAAGACAACATCGGGTTCTAATGACACCGTCACCTTCGAGGTGTCTGTTTGTCCATCCCTCCGTCACACTGTCGCCTCTAGCGTCCGAGCAGAAACTCGTACCCTCAGCCCGAAGGCACACTTTCACCTCTGCTATCACAGGAACGTCCATGAAAGCAACACTTGTTCCAGCCTGTTATACATTAACCCTTCTAAAGCGGTTGGTTGCGTGAAACTGGTTGGAGTGGCGAAAGCCTGCAGACAACCTGAACGCACACATTCCATTTTTAGTTGATATTTTAGGCAAACTTCACACTGTGTCAAACAAACGCTTACGAAATTGAGCTTTTTGGTGACATTTCCATTTCTTGCCTGATTATGGAAAGCGAAGGGTATTTTCTGAAATGAAACCAACTTGTTTTGTTTTGTTGAGTTGAGTTGAGTAAATTATCACCGTGTGCCAATTGTTGTAATTGTACATTTATTGAAGATTCTTGTCTGCTAGCTTTCTCAGATGTTGAGAGGTGTCAAACGCATTCCTTCTTTCATGTTTTTTTTTTATCTTTGTCATTTAGGCTAGAATGAACAGCAAATGCAATTGATGTGCCTCAAGTGATGATCATTTATCCACGTTGACTAATTCAATTACTTTATATAGCTCTTTATGTAACAGGGGTTCATGATTGTGTACAGGCTGGCTTATCATTTGGAAAAAAAAGTTTCATGGGGTGTGGCTGGAGCCAAGAAACATTTATAATTTGAAAGGAAAAACATGCAGATACAAGTTGCGTTTACCTCACCGCCCTCACACGTAGACACACATTTGTCATTTTGTTTCCACTTATTTGTCTCATTTAATGATACATTGACTATATGTAAAATATTAAATTTAAGTACAAAGCAGTTATGACTGCCATGCTACATATGCGCATAGTTTATTGGTTAATCTAACTTTATTTTAAAGGTAAGCATAACACACTGGACGACACTTCATTACAAAACAGTAAGGCACCTGTTGCGAGCATTTTTCTGCGGTTCATTCCAACACAGGCTGCACCGGTTAAAAATAAAAACAAAACAAAAGAAACAAAATCATCTCCCGGTAGGTGGAACTTCTGACGCTTTCATGAAATTCAGTAAATTTAGGACTAGTTGTTGTCCTACCTGACATGGCGGAGGTGGAAGCGGAGCCATTGTGACGCGGAAGTGTTGACTTCTCGGCCAGCCGCATCTGAACCTGCTGCTGGACCCGGCGAACCCTCGACACCTCGTCCGAGATCGAGGGGCCGCTCCCGAGATGGATCTCGGACGGGAGGCCATAGGTGGTGACCGAGTTGTTGGGCTGGAGAGCGGACAGAAAGACATTCTCAGAGGCCACGGTGCTCATGTTGGAAAAAGTAGCGCGTCCTGGCGCGGTGCTGTCAGAATGAGGCAGTGGAGGCGCACTGAGGCTCCCCCAGTCAGCAGAGGTGCACTATGAAGGGGCGGAGCCACAGCACAAGGCACCTTGGAGTGGACGTACCTGACACTCACGCACGCACACAGGTGAGCGCCACGCTGCTTACGTAACATCACAGCTTTGACAACATACGTACAGTGAGAAAAGTAGGAGAGAACGGGGCTTGATGTCACACTTTTGACACTTTTATATATTTCTTGGTATCAACACGTCATAGATAAGCAAAATGTGTACGAGATGAAAGACCAAATATTTGTATTCATTGGAACAATTCGCGCCAGAGTTATTAGCAAATATAAGGGTAAGATGTCACACTGCAATTAATAAAACAAGGACAAATTTATTGCTGAAAAGTAACAACATTATTATTGTTGTATTTATTTATTTTTTTAGATGATGGTGATTTTATCTCTCTTTCTTTATATGTAGATACTATGTATCTATATATAAAGAGAGGGGGGGGGTGTCTTACATTTATAAAGTGATTTTGTTTGAAAGCCAGAAACTGGTGGGAATCAAACTATCCAATTTCACTCAATTGTTCATTGGATCTTTGTTCATTTATCTATGCCAGCGACATATGGTCTCAGACAAAACAATGAAATTGTCTTTCACTAAAAAATAAAATTAACGTGTATCCATCTGATAGTATTCATACAAGAAAATAACAGCTTTGCATTCAACCAGACAGCCAAAGATTTCTCACTAAAGGTTGGGAAACATTAAGAGTGTTGAATTTTTCTAACTCCTTTATCTCAGTAATTTTTTTTAATGCTAATGAAAATACGGATACAGTGTTCATGTATTCATTTGATCAAATAATTGGTTCATTATAAATAAATACAGCAGTAAAACAATAAGAGTGCATTGATATTGTATGATTAAAATAACCATTTTTTTTCTCCACATTTTTATTTGACCTCTTCGATGACTACCTGGCCCATTTGTCTAATTTCAAAATGAAATGAGCAAAAAGGTTTGCCCACCAGACACAACACAGATGTCCATCCGGATTAGTCACCGTGTGCAACTCGCCAGCTACGCTTTTGTTTAAGGATAGACAGGATGCTTCCATCAAGAATCCACACAGTGGGAATGCACACTTTGATGTCATGATAAATTATTATTTCGGGAAACATCACTTTCAGTTAAATTGACTATTTTAATTCTTTATACACACCTGTTCTCCTTGACAATATATAATGTTCATCATAAATATGTTCAGGAAGAATAGTTAGATTGTGGCCTAATACACATTGATTGTGTGCGTGTGTTTGTGCGTGTGTGTGTGTGGGTGAGGAAGTAGACACTCTTTCCTGCCAAACAGGCTTTTCAAATGAGTCCCATGTGAATTTTACATCCTCAAAGTTCTGATCAACAAACACCAGGATGCATTGCTTTTATAAATATTTCCAAGTATACATGTTTTTTAATGACATATTTGTGGATGAAACACAAGCTATATAGTGCACGTTGATTCCCACTACCGTCTTAAATGTTACACGGACTGTACAAAATACTGCACATACATGACAAAAACTGCAGCAGTTCATCTCAATCTATTTTGCAGATTTTAAATTTGGATTTGAACTGACGTGTGAATAACAAACGGGTACAAGGTGTGGCACAGTCGTTAGGTGACTCCACACCCAACGTTTATCTGGAGTGTGTTACGATGAGTCAGTGTTCTAAACGGCAAGCAAAGAGCAAGTTTGCATATGCCTGGATGATTGTGTGCCGGCTTGGAATATCACTATTTTACAAAACACATCCATTCATGCACTCGATTTCACTTTTGACATCAATTGTAGACCAAAAAATATCGAGTAGTTGTAAATATTTGATAACCTGAGTCCACATGGAAGCATGCGATTTCACCCAACCCATCAGGAAAGAAAAAAAAAAGTGCTGCCAACTCTCAGTCAGTAAGACTCATGTTAACATTCTCAGGTGTTCAGTAAAAATAGCAGATCATTAAAGTCTTGGCTTAAGGATGGTCGACGAAGGTCAACAAGGCAAAGAGTAAAACATAAAAGCATTTTGTGAGGTACAATCAATGAGTTGTAATTATATTGTAAGATATGTTTCAAAATCGTAAATTGAAAAAAAATGTAATAGAGTATATTATTAAAAAAATAGAGTGAATTGAGTCTTTCATTTAGATTGCCGAATGGAGAAATGTATTGCGTGCATTCATTCCTTCAAGTCACAAAGGGGGTAAAAAAGCAATTATTCCCACCAATCATAAAACACACACGGATATTCATATTCTGATGTTGGTGCTCATTAATTAAAGGCTGACCTACCATTCCCACTGAGGCTCAGTTGATTGCGAATGTGGTGCACCTTCTTTTCTTCCAAGCAGGTGATCAGATGTGTTACAGTTTTGTTTCAAAGTGCTAATTGTTGAGTTTGTGTCAACTGTCACCGCCCTGAAGAATTTCAATTCTGGCTGCGTGTAAATACAAGACAGGCCCCAGACAAAAGATGAGTCACTGACAGCACGGCGGGGTGTGTTAGCGGAACACCACAGGGGAGTGTGCAGTGACAGAAAGGAGAAGTGAGATCCAAATGAATTTGACGCTTCTCTCCGAGACGTGGGAAGTCCTTCTTGAGAAGTCAGGTGGGATTCGGGCTCGTTTCTGCTAAATGCCGGGGTTTTATTTATAGTCTTGGGGAGAGTAGGGTGTTACATTTGTGAAGGAATGACTCAGGACAACACTTTTCAGCTGTTTTTTTTTGTCCCATTCAAATGGAGTGAGTAAGTGACAGGAATTCGCCAAGGTCAATCTCGTCACTTTTGGTTACTCAAACCAGGGTGTGTTTGGGGTTAATATGAGAGCGCGATTGGTCAGTGAGAGTGATGAGCTTGTTTTCCAAGCTGCTCTCATACCTGCGGGGAAAACTGTCTGCACCAGTCGGTGCTCTTAAGATCGATCTGACTGCCTGTCTGCCCCCGGACGAGTGACGCACCGCAGGTATCGGTGCCGATAAACAGATGTACTGTACTCATAAAAAACACTCCAGTATTACAACACTCCATAACAGCCTGTTATATACCGAACTACTGTATTACCATTATGCCCTTACTCAGCAAGCATGTTGCAGTGTGGCAGATAGAGAAAAGATACTCAAAAAATGTAAGAAAAAAAGTTTACGATAAAACTAACACAAACAGGTAGCCTTGATTTGTTTAAGTCCACTAGTTTAATGCTAATGCTTAATGCTAAAAGCTTAACACTTTTGACAGGCTTACATGTAGCATCGATGGACCATATAAAATTTTAAACAACAAAAATGTTCAGAACATATCCAACAACATATACAGAAAGATGATATAAAAATACTGGCATATACAATCGAGCAGGGGTGTCACACTCATTTCATAATGTGGGCCACATACGGCCTCGGTCGATGTCAAGTGGGCCGGCCCATTAAAATTACAATATACCATACTCTGCTATGAATAACCAAAATAATGACTTTCCTATGTTTTGGTCAAAACAAAGGAACAAAACTTTAACAAATAATTGTTATTGAAAAATATAGTAATGCACTTCAAGATTAAACGAGATTTATAAAGAAAGGAATTTTTAAGCCATTTACACATGTGCATATAAAATCCAAATGTAATCCCCGTCTACACCTTAGAAACTAAGGAGAGTGCTATTAAATGTGTAAAGAATAAAGTATTCACATATCCTTGATAGCGTCTGCTGTGTTGGGTCTGGCTCAGTGACAGACTGTGATTTGATGAACTGCGAATAATGCAACCTAATACTCTAGTTACGACAGTGTAGTAAAACCATTGTTCGGCTACAATTATCAATGAGATATCAGGTAAACATAAGGGACCTCCTCCAAATTTTTACATATTTGCTGAAGACTTGATTGGACGCTGTAAGACACTTGAGCGTTTGAGCTCCACTTGTCGATCATTTTTCTGGAATACAATGCGCCATGTGTATGTGTAGACAGTGTTGGGAAGAGCGGCCTCCTCTTTCCCGCGTGTTCGTTGAATTCAGGACGAGGAGAATGTTGGTAATCCAAATAAAGGCTGGAGGCGATGTACAGTTACTTCGAAGGGGTTTTAATTTATTTTCTGCAGTTTACGAATCGATTCGGGCTCCTGAGGGGTCCAGATTTGAATCAGGAAGCGTAGAAGAAACACATTCATGAGATTATATAGAGACAATATGATAATGAGAGGCGGTTAGGTACGCCTCTCATGCAAATCCCGGAAACAAAGAAAGTAACATGACATCTGACCCGGCGTGGCTGGAAGACATTTGGAGTGGTGGGGTGAGACCAAACCACCACGACCCACCATTTGGTGTGATAGCAAGTTCCAGAACCCCTGCTGTGCATACATCCTGAGATAAGAGGTCTTCCCAGGGGGGCTTAACAGCGATCAGGGACCGACCCAAGGTGCGGGGGAACAACGGAAGAGACACTTGGGGGGCCGTTAATCAACCAAGGAGGAAGAAGATAAACTTTAACACCACATATGTTGTTTTAAGTGTGCAAACAAATGTTCAGGAAAGAGACTGAGACCAATAGTACTCATAGCAAAGCGCAGTCCCTCAATAGCTGCAACACAGATACTTGAGATAACAGTTCCTCTTTTGATGTTGACATGTCCTCTGGAGGGGTCATAAAAGTAGTGGGGGTGAGGGGGTACCAAAGGTGATTGTAATCACAGTAAGCAGGAAATACCTTCAACAGCATTCTACATTGTTTCTTTCAAATCCAGCTAACAGAGAGGAATCATATCTTAACAGTAGTTATATCTGTGTGGAATATTCATGGGAGCAAACCTAAAAAGTTTCCAGCAAATCATCGCAAAATAAAAGTCATCATTTCTAAAGAATGAACCCTTGCAGCGAGCTCCCCATAATTTGTCAAAGGCCTCTGAGGTTATTTATTAGTACAAAGTTATTTTCAAGGGGGGGAGCTCAGGTAAACGTGGGAGGATTTTTCTTGGCACACGACAGTAACAACCTGACATCTGCAACGGTCGCCAGGCAACTGCTCTCCGTTTGCAAATAATAAGGTGGTAGTAATCCTCTCTTATCCCCCAGCCAGATAATTCTCTGGAAGAACACTACTATGAACAGCAGTGTCAACAAATAATAAAATTGTGTTTTTGATGGGATAGAGTACAATGATGAAACCATAGTAATAGTATTTTTAGTCAGGAAGATATTGGCAAACATCACATCGCAACATCTGGATCTGGGGATTTTTCAACAATATTTGAATGACACAGACATTGTGAGCAGTTTTATATTGAATGAAACTTTTCATTGTCTTTTCTCAAACAGAATTCTCTCAAAATGTTGCCTACATACTTATATACTATAATGTACAAATAAAAGTACTGCACTATTTAGATTTTGGAGTAGCTGCAGCGGTGACCTCTGCTGACCACCGTGGTCATTACAGTAGTATACAGTATATACAATACTGTATATGGCTTCATTATACAGTATAATGCTGCTAATTTGATCTGTGAGGATCAATAACGGGAAATATTAGGTTAACTTGAGCAACTTTCTGAAATCAAAAGAAACTGACTGCACTTGACCGTGCATCGTCGCTGCCTAATTGAGATCAGATGAATGTTAAAAATGCTTAAAAAGTTTATTAGGTACAAAAAGTCTTCAGAGTAAAGCCACTGCTTGAGCTGCTTCTGCGCGCCTTCCCTTTGGTTGCACACAATAGATACATCGTGCCACAGTAACGTCACACTCCATTGCTCTCATTAATGTTATGAGGAAGAAGGTCTTGTAACCTTTGTCAGCTTTAAAAGAGCCATAGTCAGCATTTACCTTTACGCTTTTTAAAACGTGCCTAAGCAGTGGCAGGCTGCTATTCAACCAGAAGTCTTGTCTTGTAACAATGCGATATTGTTTGTGGCAATCCTTTTTTGTCTCTTGTTAGGTGGATGCCAGCAACCTCATGTCTAACTCGTAGCGAAACTGTATCAATAAAACGTAACTTCCGTTTTCAGCGGTGCATTGATTTTATTTTGAAGGCCCGTCTTAACCAGCTACAGGATGTCTTATGCTGACGTTGTCCGCGTGTTGCGGAGTGGACCAGGTCGTTGTTGCTTTGAGTCATTACTAATGTTATTGTAGTTCATTAAAACGTATAAAATAGGTTAAACTAGAATTGAAAAAAACTTTTTGAAAATGAATTAAAATAAAAATTAAATGCAAATAAAATGGAAGCTTTTGTGATACAGTATACAAAAAGTCTTCCCCCCACCCCTCTTTTTCAAAGGCTTGTGTGCACTGCACAGCTCAGGGAACTCAAATAATACCCATTATACCCATTTGATGTCAAAACATTTTTTTTGGGGGGGGGGGGGGGGGTTCAAGCCTTTTAAATATTGATAAATGAAGGGAAAAAAATGTGAGGCAATGCGCACTTTTCTCTTGGGCTGGTGCCAGAACACCGCTAGGGTCTATTATGCCTATATGGTCGTATTCGAAATAGCCTGTGGTTCTTATCTAAATAAGGGCTAATTTACACAAGTTATGTACCAGGTGTGTCCAAACTGGGCTACAAAACAGCTCAAACAGAAATTTTTTCAGAAAGAGACAGACCTTAAAAAAATTCAATTGGTTTATGCCTTATTTCACACTTAATAGGTGGGCAGGCACTTTAGAGCCCCAACAATTAAATAAAAGCAGTTGAAAAGTCGAGTTGGCTTTTCATGTGCAACTTCTACTTTTGAGATACAAATCTCTCTCTGTAGGGCTACCTTAAATGAGATATTAGCAGAGACTCGATCGTGTGATGTCATCAGCGACTTTAAGTGACGAGAAAAGTGCACTGGGTGTGTCTGTGCCAGAAATACAAGTCCGTTGAGTTCTGGATGTTGTGGGAGTAATTGTTGCGTAATCGTTTCAAGAAGAGCTGTTGATAAGTCTGCCTCCTTGTGGTGATGTAAGGCATTACACCAACTTCCAATAACCAGTTGCGTGCAGATGTAAATTAGCGTCTTTTTGTTTTTGCCTGAGAATGCTCCTGAGTTCATCTTGATGCAGTAACTGCTTGACATCTCTCTTTTTTAGAGTACCTGGACTAAACCCACGCAAGCAAGGAAAGAATATGGAAATTCCACAGAGGAAGGCCAAGATCCGGACCCAGAACGTTAGAAGTGAAGCAAACATCCTTACCACTAATCGACCCATCGCGCTGCAGAAGACAAAGAATCTGCACTGATAATTAGCACGAAGATGGTTTATTCAACAAAGTTGACTGAGAAAACACTGCGGGCGTGATAAGAGAGTAACGTCGCAAGTGACTGTTGACCTGCTGGTCCAATCGTGTAACACAACAGGGAGACATGTCACAATCAAACATGGCCTCTCGTAATCAACATGAGACGTGCATATGTACAATTTATACATCCATAAAAATGGCATTAATTCAGCAAACTATTCCACAGCATACTGTATATACACAGTATAGATTTAGGAAGTTGTGATTATGCCCTATGATAAATAGACAATATCCTAATTATATTTTTTTAGTATAAAATAAAATGAGAGCAGATCTATCCACCATGCTGTGTTCTAGTCATAGGAAAGAGGAGCAACAGCAAAAAAAAAACAAAAAAAACAACAAAAACAAATCTAAGTCCATCAATGAGTCACGGTGCTCATCACTGGATGGGCTCAGTACGCTGGGGCGTTATGGATCCCGCAGCAAAGCACCATGGTGAAGATCATCTCAAAGATCTAAAAGGAAACAAAGAAAAATCCCATTTGACTCACATTGCTCTTCCGTTGTCATGCAGGGAGATGGCGGGGCAGTGAGCTCACCATGATGACGGCCACCACTAACGCAGCCAGACCAATCAGATAAAGCTTCTCAGAAAAGAGCTCGATCAGTTTGTCGTGACAGCTCTGTTTGGGGGGAAAAAAAAACTAATATCAGATTTTTTGTTTCTTACTCCTCAAATATGTGAATCTGTGGGTGGTTTATGTGTGGGTCCACTGTACATCATAAAATGAACCTACAGCCATGACACTCTGTCGGCGTAAAATGCAGGATTTAGACATTAAATAATCTTTCTTTACTTCAGCAACCATGAGGCTGATCTTGAAATACTTCCTGTTTTCATTCATCTTTCAAATTTACAGCATATACTGTTGGTGTGTGGTCATCTCATGGCCAAACAGTGGAATTACACACAAACAACAAAATCGAGTTATAATTTGACAAAAAAACAATTTGGTACGATGTGTAATATCGGTGCGAGAAATATATATAGTATTGGCACAGATACTGGTATCGGTGCATCCCCAGAGTCGATTAATACTAACAGAGAACTGTGACATTATACAGTATGCAATATATATAATGTTGAAAATAAGGGCTATGATATGGAGAGCAAAAATAGATTCAAAGATTGGGTGGTAATGCAAGACAAATGTCATCGCATGCTACAGAATAATGAAACGTTCACTACCTGAGACTTCAGAAAATCTTCTGGAGACTTTCTGGGACACAAACTGCCGACAACTTGTTTGAAGAGTGCCGTGTCGTCTCCTTTACCACAACAGTCAAGCTGGAGCGAAGGCCAAGAAAACAAATCACAACATAAAAATCCAAATGTTCTCTAACTCGCCACAAAATTAGGTACACTTGCATAATTTCATTCGCTATTAAAGTTGTATTTTGTCTGTGCTTTGTCGCTACTATGTAGCCAAGTAATGTTCGCACTTCACCACAACAGTAAAAACATTGTAAAATTGTTGGTTCTCAAAGCTGATCAAATAAATGCATTTCTTGCTTTTGGATATTTATATATCTCATACCGGTACATTTAATATTGTGGCTATAAAGAGACAAAACCAGGTTTTTAAGAGACTAAATGTTTGACTTACCGTGGTGTGAAAAACATCCAGAACTTTGATGGCAGCGTCTTTACTGGGAGAGCCGGAGACGTCCACAGCCTTGATGTATGCTGAGTCGTAGAAGTTGATCAATTCCTTGGAGATCTGCAAACAGCTTGTTATTGTCAATCAGAATCACTGATATGATGAGCAAATGTGGCTGGGTGTCCTCACTGTGTCTCTGTTCATGAAACCCCAAATAGCTGCAGCCACTTCACAGGCAAAGAGGATGACCAAAAAGAAGAAGAACTGCAGAAAAGATTTAGAATCCACTTTCAGTGCAACAGTTTTCATCGATGAATGCACGACACACAAGATGCCAAGGCATACCGAATGTGGATTTTTACAGGGTGGACATTTGACGATTGTACATTACTTTGTCACGATTTGTTTAACTTTACAATGGAGTGTAAATGATTAATGACAATTATATTGAGACATCTGGCCATTTAACACTTTGCTTATTTACACCGATGATCCGTAAAGCGCAAACACGGTCGTAATCTTCTTTCTACTTCACTTTACCCCACTCCAACTCAATCATCCAATCACAAATCACAGTCACCTTCATGGTCTCACACACAGTCGGATCTTATAAAATTATCCAATCAACATAACAAAAGTGCAGATTTGCTACAGTTACATTATTATATTTTTCTTCTGTTATGTGAGTGAGCGAGTTGTTACCGGGAAAAAATATTAATGTTATCGATAAATGGAAGCGATCAACACTTTACTGTCAACTGTTCTTGGAATGTGGGGAAAAAAACCCCAATCGAGGGGCACGACTCGCAAAACTATTAACATGGATCCCTAATTGCTTAATCGGTCAAGGTGTCTCAAGAATTTTTGTCCATTGTAGTGTTATTTGTATTTTGTAAAAGTCAATGTAATTCTCACCGTTCCCAAAAGGCACTGAGATTCCTGAATGGCACCGTAACAGCCAAGGAAGCCCACCAGCATCATCACAGCGCCTACAGCTATCAGTATGTAGACACCTGCCAAAACAGACACACATCAACATGAGCTTAATACACGAGGCAATGGGGTATGCTTACCACCACCACCACCACCAGGGGGCAGCAAAGACAACGGAGAGCGTTTATTTTTCCCTGTTCATTGATCCACACACTATTTGGTAATGGACTTCCTGAATGTCTTTCGTGGTCCCTGCTGGGTGACACGACATTATTGACATCCTGGAGATAAACAGCTCCCAGATCCTGTGTCGGGGGCAGAGCTTCAGGGCGGGAAGTGCCTTCCAGACACATTCAGTGCCCCTCCGCACAATAAACCCCTCTGACCTCTCACCTCCTGCATTATCCATCCCACACAGGAGACGTGAGCGCGGCAAAGATAAACACATCTCGATATATAAGAGATAATATCTTTCTTGACATTCTCTGGTGATTATGACAATAACATCCTGTCCTTACCGTCCTGCAGCAAGACGAATTCAGTGAATAAAAATAATCCTATAAATCCACTTTTATAGACAATTTTTCCTGTTTAGGGTCACGGGGAGCTTGAGCCGATCCCAGCTGACTTCAGGCGAAAGGCGGACCACTGCTACTAATAATCCAAAGTACAAAAGAAATTGAAAAAAAGCTAAAACTCCTGCAACACACAGCAAGTTTACACTGCGCAGGAGTTGAATGCCTGGTTCTTTGTATTTAGACTATTACTACTGCCACACTCGAATACATAGTGGAATTTAAATTGTCGTTGTTTTAAAATGGTACTTTACGGACATTGATACATTCCTTCAGTATTTCTCTCATTATTTCAATTTGTTCTTTTTTTCTGAGCTTTCACATTCTTGGTAGAAGTGGAGGGGGACTAGCAAAGAAAGAACTTCATTGCTCAGTGCTACCATAGTATTTTTAAAATAAAATAAAAACTCATCTCAATATGATATACCACATGCGCTGCCACATCGGAATTCATGAGGTAAAAGCAAGATTAAGGGGAAAAAAAAAGTGTTTTGCAGATTCAACAGCATGTCAGAGTCCATTTAAAACTCAGCAATCCCAAGGCCTTTTGCCCTTTATCTCTTCTCTCTCTCCACTGAAACGTCACCCGATGAATGAAATCTTTTCAGGCAGATGCTTTTGGAGCAGGATGATTTGGAAAAACAACCTCCACACTAATGCGACCTTGACTGCGGTCGAAAAAGAGACGGACAGATTCCGATTCTCTGCAAGACCTCACAAACAGCACACGTACAAACCTTCCATATATCTCCATCAGCCCTCTTGCGATACTCCCCCTCCACTTTCAGGATCCTGAGTTTTTTGTTTTTTTTTTTTTTTGGTTCGTGAGCTTAGCTACCAGGCATGGTAACCCAGCAATGTGGCAAAAGCGGCCGTTATTTCCACTGCCTTCCATTACTATGACAACACCCTTTGAGGTTTGAAGGCCATTGAGATGGCACCGGGGAAGTTCATTTATTTCTTGTCTCTCTGTGTAACCTCTATAGAGGGAGGGGGGCGGGGTGTGTGTATGTGAAAAGCCACTAAAAGCCGCACTTGGATGTCTCTCTTATTCTCCTCTCATCCACTATTTACAAAAAAAAAAAAAAAAGGCTGCAAAGTCAAGTCCCTGCAGTCTTTTGCATTGGTTCCAGTCTTCCAGGGAGTGCTTGTTGATCTACGATAAGGATTAATCATTAAAAAGAGTCATACTCTCGATGAGCCTTCCTGACAGAGAAACATTAAAGTGAAAGTGGATGAGCACACACACTAGTGAGCGCTACAATCACTTGTCCACTAAGGTGCTTAAAAATAATCTGAATAATAGTCAAAGTATTATGGAAATAGCCACAAAAGTAAAAGAGTAGTAGGGAAAGGGTTTGAATCGAGTAATTAGCCCCATGTAGTGCATCAATGTCAATTGCTGGTCATAAATTGTAGACGAAATTGACATTTCTGGATATGAAGTAGAGGTGCAACAATTCGTTGACTAATCTTAAATGAATTAATTATCAAATCAAGCGCCTTCCCCAGAGTGTTTCCACAAATAATATTAATATTGTGTTCGTGGAATAAGACTGAAGCAGATGAATCCATCTGGCTGCCATTTAGTCCCGTACCGCCCTCTGCTGTCAACTAAAATTGACATCAAACTTCCCTCTGGCTCGCATTGTGGATATTACAAGACAGAGAAAACAGAAAATGGATAACATGAATCTGCTCAGCTCTTATTCAACAAGCACAATATTAGTCCGAATTCATATATGTTTAGACGAGTGGGGGAACATTAAACATACTTTGTACTATGGCACATAAAAATGTTGCCTTGAGGTCCCCTATAAGATTCAGGGGGTCGAGCATAAACTCAAGACAATTCAATTGAGAAAACTCTCAAAATTTCACTACATTAGTTTTGCTGTCCTTCCCCCTTTTTTTTCCAGTTCTGAAACAAGTCTGAGAAGATTGTCAGTCGGGAGCTTTCCTCAAGCGGCGTGCCAGCAGAAACTGCGCTCAGAGTTTGGACAAGATGTATTTTGAGCCCGACATAAACACCAGGTTGACGTGCCAGCATGCTAAAAACACCCAGGCCAAACTCTAATTTGAAGGTTAATGTGCAGATGTCCGAGGTTATTTGAATTATGCCGGGGCGTATGTTTAAGAGCGGGAGAAAGAAAGAAACATTCCCCTTGATCTTGCTTGGGTGGGCCTCTCCAAAATCACTAGTGGGCCTGCGCTCTATAAAAAGCCGGAGTTTGTGATGCTTCCTTATACTTAGTGAGGAGGGAAGTATGGGAGAACATGGACGGGGCCAAATTGTAATGAATGGGTGCATGGCAGTTCACCGCCACAACAAGACGACGAGATGAAAATGTTTGAATTGTATCATGTTTCGCATGTTTTGGGGCCAGCTTGTGGGTGGCTGAAGGTACCGAAGAAAAATGATGGATGCCATTAGTTCAAGCGGAAAGGCAACCTGAGGAGCGCATTCCTGATTCTGCAATTCAGTTACGATTTTGTAAAGGAAACAAAACAACTCTCCGAAACTTCCGAGCGGGTGAACACACATGATGGCTTTATTTTTTCAGGGTGCTCACACGGGCGCACCTCGGTGCCCGCACCGGCCGCAACATCTGCTGACAACATCTGGCCTCTCTCAATGAAGCATGTGAGCCAGGTCTTTTTTTTTTTTTTTTTTTAAGGACTTGGGAGGGTAAGATTGAATGCACACCTTCGGAGTGTCAGACTAACAGCTGGGTAAAAATGTCCCACAGCGGATTTACGCAGGTTCTGTTTCCCGGTCTTTTCTTAGAGGTCAAATGCAGGTTTGTATTTGTGGCCCCAGCTGAAAGTGAGCCCCATTACTCGCGTGTTCTTAAAAATGACCTTCTCGTCTCATAAAATAAACTACGACAAGAGACGAAATGTCTGTAAGTGATGATTGAGCAACTGCGAGGGTTGAATTCATTTCGAGAATAAAACGTAGTGTGATTTGGATAAGGAGATGTGCCTTGTGTGTTATACAGGGTCATAAATCATACAGTTGGCGCTAAACTGCCTGTACATTCAATCAAACAGATTGCGCGCTATTGGCAACAAGTGTAAAATTGCTGGAGAATGTCATATTTAAAAGAAAGTTTTCACCGTGGAACATTTGGGAGACCAAAATGCAGTTTATTGAGTGATGGAAATGAAAGTGTTTAGACAGCAAGCGGATAAAAGCCACGCTTTGTTGGATTTGACTTGTTGTGAGTGTGTGTCAATTCTGTGCCAATCCCTGCATAGCGCTGCGTTTAAAACTTTGGGCAGTACAACCGGAAAATTACTTTGGGAGAGGCGCGGGCACAAATTGCCACAATGTGCTGACATAGCCCGGACGCAAGTGAATGCAGAGTTGAGAGGAGTTTTGTCATTTGCGATTTAGCATGAGACTCCCTCTTGTCACTGGCTCTAAATCAATTTATAGATCGGCTCAGACTCAGCTCTTCGATTAGGGACGGGCAAATGACGGATCCCTGTAGGGTGGGAAGGTTGTATGAATTTAAACACAAACCTATGTGCCTAGTTTGCTTCGAGATGAAATATTTCAATCAGTCATCACTATAAATCAACCCCAAGAGTGTTAAGAGTGTTAAAAAACATGCACGGTGGCTTACTGGAGAGGCGACTGATGTGATAAATCGATGGCGACGCAGAGGGGAAACATTTATTGCCCTTTTCTCCACTGCGTTCACACAGGTGAGTGAGTCAGCTTATTCTTTTGGGGATTGACATGCAGGACATACGCGGTTATAACATAAAGCCATATCATATTAAAATCTTTGAGCGAGTTGATTTTTGTGAAAATGTGCACAAAATGGGTTTTTGTACTTAATATTGGTATCTTTTAATGTGATTCTTTTTAAATGCAAGAGAACCTTTTCCACAGGGGCAAAGAAAATGATAGTGTCCGGTTATTTTTTTCTATTTGCATCAAACCTTTTGTATTTGAAGAGTGGGTCTTGTTCATGTGTTTCAGTATAATACTATATTTTGACACTTTTCTGTACATTGGTTCAATAAAAAAACATGTTGTCCTTATTGAACCCTTTCATGCACCCTGTAACCTGATAACATGATAAGCTGCCCACTGTAGTGACCGCTGTCCCTGAAAGGGTTAAAAAAAACACATTCTTTTCATACATTTTAGGAGTTGTGCTGTCCTGTGTAGCATAGCCCCAAAAATTGTAGCCACCTCCGTTGTTTAGTTTGCCCATCCCTGACTTGGACCATCAGAGGGGCAAAAATACAGCATTCGGAACATGCCTCAATATGATGAAATCTCAAATTACCAAATGAAGTAACCAAGTTGCTAGCAGTACAGTCTAGAGTACAAGTTCACCACCACTGAGAACTAAAACCACCACAACAAACACTGTTTACTTCATAAAAATCAAAACGGAGTATAATTACCTAAAGGGTAACACATTACCACATTTTCCACGATCCGGTGTTCGACCGTCCACTTGCATTGGGGCCAAGCCAGAAAAATTGGCTCACTCAAATTTAGTTTTTCTCCATTGCTTATTGGTGTGGGTATACTCTACTAATAACAAAGTATTTGCAAGGACAACACTTATTTATACAAAGTCAAAACACCTCGAAAGTTGTACAACTAGCCAACAATGTGGAGAACATTTCTGAAACAAGACATACCGAACAAGCAATCCCAACTCTCGTGATGTATTCCTATGCTAGTAGCTAACAAACCGTTCGGGCTTCAACACAAACTGAAAAACATCAAGGAGGTGAGTATTATAGTATTACAGAGGAGCAGGTCGGGTCCCCTCTGTCCTCACCACATTTTGACAATCATCAGTTCCTTTTGAACATATCATGCGTAGCACTGCGCTTGAACACATCGACAAAAAAAATTGGATTTTTTTTTCTTCCAAACAAGCAATGTAAATTGAGTGACACTGTTCCACATTGATATTTGCCGCCAATTTAGGTGGCACAGTGGCATGAGTTGGTGACTACTGATGTCATTATCACCTATAGCTCCTTCAGATTAGACATTGTGAGCATTTTAACCCTTTCATGCACCCTGTAACCCGATAAACTGTCCACTATAGTAACTGCTGTCCCTGAAAGGGTGAAAATGTCACTCAAAATATCGCCTGTACAGTGAACTCAGGTTTTATGAGGGCGGCCGTTTGAACGTCAATTTTCAAAGGGCAATGTTGTCAAAAGCCAATCACAGAGTTCCTCTCCTATTTTCCTCTAAAAAAAAAAAAAAAAAAAAAAACGGCCATTTTTACTTTCTGGGAGGGAACCACTTGACTCACTGATATAGAAGGTTCCCGGTGCCTGTTGGCCTTCAAACTGAAGAATGAGGAGGTTGCTTGTTTGACTGTCGTGACGGAGCCACAGGGCCACTCCTAAGATCACTCCTCCAGCCAGCTGCAATGAAAAGAAGGGAGACTGTCAGTATGATGTCGTCGTCCTCCTCAGTCCTTTGGTGGAATCATGCAAGGAGAAATCCAACATTTCTGAAAGTGATATGTGTTGCTAACGTCACTCCTATAAGTTCAAATTCACGGTTGAAATATTTGTATGTGTGTGTAGCTCCAGCGGGAGACTGTGAACTGTCCCCTGGCGTCAAAGGGAAGTGATGAGAGGATATCCTGACACGGCGGTGACCTATGGCACCGTCTACGGCCTCCAAAAACAAATTCTTCAACATTATCTCCTCTCCGTTTAGCTCTTGGGCCACGTTGAAGGAATGCGGACCACAGGTTGAGATTGAAGCACACGATGTGGTGATCCAGGAGTTATAATATTTAAAAAAAAAAAAGATTGTCATTAGTCCCTTGTTAAAACAAACTCATCGACAAATTTAGTGCCATGACTGCATTGCATTGTTCTCCAAGAGACAGGAAGCCAAATCCTCGACATGAAAAATGGCAGTTTTTCACAATGACAAGCAGGCGGGCAAAAGCCAACAGAGGAAACACTCATGCGTGGCATGTCCAGGATATGCTGTTCATCTAAAAAAAGATAAGTGGCGAGAAAAAGCAAGTGGAAATTCACAGCTGGTCAATTCCGGGTGTTTGGGAAGTAAGAATAAAGAATGCGAGTGTGTTTGGAGGAAGTATTATGCGATGGTGGCAAGTTACATCGAGTAAATTTGTGGAAAACAAGGGACAGAAGTGCTGCCTGTGTGTTTCCTGAGTTTGTGAAAAGTTCCAAGGCAGCACAGCTCTCCCCTCCCCTCAAATCTCTGTTCAGACTTTTTTTTTTTTTTAAGAGTTTATTCTGTGAGAAATCATTTATCACTTTGGGATTTTGAAGTCTTTCCCTTTAGCCCATGAATCTATTTCTGATAGGGTCACATGGTTGATGCGAGATGTAAAGAAAGAGGAGTAAATGTTTAGATTGAAGCCCACCCGGCATGAAATCCTCCCCTCTCCTTCCCTCTTTCAACCACCCCACACTGCTGCTCATCCATGCAGAAAATAACTGTGGGGTTAGAGCGACATTTGGTACGCGTCGCCTCCTCAACTGATGCTGCTCTCCGACACGAGCCCTTCACACCCTTCGCAAAGCAAGGTGGGAAACGCAGCGCATCTAATTCATGAAACCGCACAGAGGTACTCAAACGGTACGCCGCTCAGTCAAACCAACGTCAGGTTTGTAACTCAAAACATTCCAAATGTCAAATGAAAAGAAAACGACTTACCCAGAAAATAAAATTAAAGAAGAATAACATATATTTAATGCATTGCGTGCATCCTGTCACCGCCATGTTGCCAGCTTTTTGTCAGTTTCCCTTCTTTTATCCCAGTTCGAGGTCTGAGGCCACTCAGCAATCCAGAATCACACACACGCTCTCTGCCAGTTGAGGTATAAGAGCCTCGATGCGGCAAACTCCTCCTTTATAATGAAGAGTGAAAACTGAGACACGGAACTGCCCACCAGGAGGGGGAAGACTCAGGGAATAACATGGCCCCCGTCTGCACGAGTCAACGGGGTGCCCCACTTTTGTTCCCAAGTCTGAAGACGGGTTACAAAGAAAATAAATATTGTGACAGACTTTTGCTGACATTGTTTTGCTTTTTATCGGAAGCCATAAAGTTTCGTGCAAAGACTGGTGAGCATGTTCATCATTCCCGCCATCTTGTCTGAAGTTTCAGTTCCAGCAAAAACAAAACAAAACAAAACAAAACAAAAAAACATCCCTAAAGCACAATGCTGCCACCATTATGCAGGTATGTTCTTCTTTTAGTGATGAGCAATGTTTACACCAAAGGTACCTATCAGAAATATGGCCAAAAAGGGTCAACCTTGGTTGCAATGGACCTTAATAAAAATTCCCAAAACTTGGTCAGATGAAAGCAAGGCTGAAGGTTATGGCCATAATTCCAAAAAATGTGAGCCAACACAACACTGCTGAACTTGAAAGAACACCACAAGTACAATAAATCAAGGTGGTGGCCGCATTATGCTTTGGAGTCATTTTTTTTTCAGTTGGAACTGCGGTCTTCATCAAGAAAGAAGAAGTTGTGAACAGTTCCAAATGAGTCATATGGAGCCTTATTCTTTCATGTCAGAATCATCCTGGCATTTGAAAGGGTGTGTGTAGACTTTTAAAAAGTGGAAGTCTTAAATGTCCCTCACATGCATGTTTTGGGAATATAAGAGGAAAACAGAGCATCTGAATAGAACCCACGGAAGCACATCATCATATTGGAACACCGCGCCTCAAAACTGAGGCAGATGCACTCACCAAGAGCGACCATTATTATATTAGCACAGGCGGAATTACCATTATCATGAGATTCTGCAGAAGTACATAATGAAATGTCCAGAGGGTGTACGCACCCATTAGGAGTGAATGAGGTATACAGTATCAGCAACTATAATAATGGCCAGCCTGGAACTTCTTCTCTTTGAACAACAGCTCCCTCTGCTGGCGGGTAAAAGCCAGACAAAAGCCACTTTTTGTTTCGAGCAGATGCGCACAGACACATCTGACTCACGGCAGAACGATTTAACTCTCGGGCTATTCAAAAGCAAACCAGTGCATCTCGGTCACTGCGCACCGTTGTTAGCGCGAAATGTCAATGCGTTCATCCATCATAGTGAACGCCTTCAATAATTTACATTGTTGTTTTTGTTTAGTGAGGGGCGGGTCGTTGCTCACACTTACAGAGTGACGGGGGAAATTGGGCACCGTGAAGTGCCGTATTTGGGGACCACTATTAGGCTGCATCACTGGGCATGCTCCATCTGGTGTGAGAGGGGGAAGCAGCGGGCATGTTGTGAGCCACATTCTTACCTTTTGTTTTTACCTTTAGATTGTTTCTTTCCACTTCCCCGATCTTGGATGTCCGCTCCTGACTAGATCCTCGCCTCCCTTTTTGCAGCAACAGTAGATAGAGGAGGAAAGCGAGACGTGTCGGTGATGCCGAGACAAAGAGCTGCACTCGGCTGCTGCGCGTCGGTGTGAAGGAGGCGCGTCTGGAGGAGGGATCGAATACAGTACCGGGAGGATCAGAGGCAGCAGGGCAGGCGCTGTCTGCTCAGCACCAGCAACGCAATCACCTTGACTCGGATGAGCCTGTAAAAGGTGAAGAATAGTTAGGCGTGCGGGCACCATTATCTGTCTGTTGGTTGTCGCTGGATTTGGCGACGATGTGCAGACGCCCATTGTCCATGCGATGCCATTGGCCGCGTTCATTTTGGATTTCGCCTGCAGCCTGACGGGCACGTCAGCGTCCACATCTCCCAAGCTCGGCGCTGCCTGACGCGCGCGTCGAGCCAGCGGCGATTCGCGTTTGCTTCCTGGCGGGGAGACGACAGGTGGCTCGGCGCGTGGCTCTCACCTTTGCCACCATGACGAGGGGAACGTGGCTGAGCGATGCTTAAGGGACGCGATGGGCCTGAGCGACGACAAGGATCGCATCGTGATCAACGTGGGAGGGATCCGGCACCAGACGTACCGCAGCACCCTTCGAACCCTTCCCGGCACCCGCCTGTCGTGGCTGGCCGAGCCTGACGCTCCCAACCACTTTGACTATGACGCTAAGATCGAGGAGTTCTTTTTCGATCGCCACCCGGGCGTCTTCGCGCACATCCTCAACTATTACAGGACAGGTAAGCTGCACTGCCCGGCCGATGTGTGCGGGCCGCTCTACGAGGAGGAGTTGGCGTTTTGGGGCATCGACGAGACGGACGTGGAACCGTGCTGCTGGATGACCTATCGCCAGCACCGGGAGGCGGAGGAGGCCCTTGATAGTTTCGGCGGCGGAGGACTGTTGGACCTGGGAAACGACGATGCCGAGCCCGAGCAGGAGCACGGGGAGGACGACGTGGATGAGATGACGCGGAGGCTGGCGCACGGAGACTCACCTGATGTTCGCAGCGGCACTTTATGGAGCCGCTGGCAAAAGCACGTTTGGGCTCTCTTCGAGGACCCCTACTCCTCCAAATATGCAAGGGTGAGTTGTTTGCATATTTTGTTTTCAGCCCGTCCGATCGCTAGGTGAATTCATGAATGACTGATGGCTGGGAGGCTTTCGAAGTCGCTATGTGACCTTGAAATTGATCTCCCAACGAATGGATGGCACACTAAGGCTGGTAAAATCGTAAACCAAAATTCCAGCTGGCAATAGGAACAATAATTAGCACTTTTGATCACACAACAAAGATTTCACTCTCATCTGTAATAGTTAACCTTCATGTTTGTCTTCTAATGCATACAGCAACAATTGGTGTTTCATTATTAAACTTCACAACTTCTTTCTTCTCCTTTCGGCACATCCCTATTCAGGGGTCGCCACAGCGAGTCAGTAATTTCCATCCGCCCCTGTAAACCGTCCTACCAACTCGCATGGTCGTCTTGGCAAAAGTTTTACGCCGGATGCCATTCCTGACGCAACCCTCCCCATTTCTCCGGGCTTGGGACCGGCACTGGGGAACAGTGCACCCCCAGGGGAGGGCACTGCCCCCCAGCGGCTGGGTTATTAAACTTCACAACTACAATGCAAATTTTCAAGCATGCATAGCATTGCGGATACAAACATTCATATTGAACACTTGTTGCTAGGCAGAGCTCATAGGGCTCATCCCACGATGCTGTTTGACTGACAAAAAAGGGACTGATGGTGCTCTGCCTCGGACAGAGGGCCAATAGGAAGAGGATGTCAATCAGAAACACACTCAATGAGTGGCGCTGTGGCGCTCGTGTGCCGTGAGAGCGCATTAGGGGCCCTGTGGGAAATGACCCAATATCACTTAATTTGTCAACTAATTATTTATTCATTGCAAACATATCTTTGTTTATCTATAACGTATGGTGACAGGCAGAATAATTACATGGTCTTCCATTAGATGGCAGAGGGTACCAGTGTATCCACCATTCATAAAAGAAAACAAGTCCTGACTTCCTGCAAGGATGCAGTATTATATATCAGATTTGTGTTCACCTAAACAGGCCCAGTTTCCTGAATGAAGAGGTCACTTTGGGAGTAAATTGAGATGAGATCATTATTATTTCAGGATGAGAAGTTAACCTTCTTCTCATTGTCTGCCCTGCATTATTCTCCTCATTTCAATTTAAAATGTTCAGGGCAAGATTCTCTCTTCTAAAACAACAACAACAAAAAATTAATTGGCTGTCAATCAGTCCAGGTTGTACCCCCCCCCGCCCCCAAAAGTCAGCTTGCATAGGGTCCTTGAGGACCATTGCCATCCACGGATGATTGTAAATGTTCCAATAGTCAGCTGCAGTTGAGGAAATGTCGTCAAATATCCATCCCTATTTTCAATTGAATCACTATTTAATAGAAAATAACAACGATATGAATATATCACTACAAAATATGAACTGCCCCTCATCCAGAGTCACCACAGCTCGTATGAGAAATATTAGGAATTATCTTTCCGGGGTACAAGGTTCCCTGGGTAGACTTGCTAAATGGGTCAACACCACATTAGGCAAGCAGATCTTTTGCACCACACAGCAACATTTCAGTGGCAATCCTCCAGACTAAATCCGCTTGCTGTTGGAGGTGGCATATTTGGTCCTTGCTTTTGGGCATTTTTCCATTTGAGCCTCTAAAAAGCGACAATTACGTGACATCTCCACATCTTCTTTTGACAAGTGTACTCCTCTGAAACCTGCTGCGATGCATGCTGCTTCAGCAGCTGCAGCAGCCTGATTATCCCCCCCCCCCACACATCTAGCGGTATCCAAACATCCCTGCTGTTTTTCACTCATATAAACTACATATGAAAGGTCTACACACCCCTGTGTGCCACATTTTTGTGGTATAAAAATGAAACCAACATACATAATTTAAACCCATCTTAAAGGATTTATAAACTGTAAAATCAATTAAACATTCGAATGAATTATTTTGAATCTTTTTCAGAGAGTAGGTAAAAACAACTGAGATAACGTAGCTGCACAACTCTTCGCACACTTTTATCTGCGTGTTCACATTCGAATTCATGCTCGACGGGCTTCAGCACACCTAACACCATTTGAAGTGCCTTTGGGTATCCCCAAATAAAGTTCAGCTGTTCTCGTAGGGCATTTCCTGAAAATTTTTTTGCTATTTGGCAGAAAACTGAAGGTTTTGTGATAACACTGACTGATATTTGGAGCTGTTCACAATACTCCCCAGCTTGAAAAAGGCCCCAGATTTCAGCTGAAAATGAAAAAATCAAGAACCCCGCAGTAGACTTTTCCTGACATTTTTTGTTTTCACCTGGAATGTGGGCATAGACAACGTGGTTGGCATTATGAACAGTTCCAACTCAAAGTCTGTGTCATCACAAAACCTTCAGGCTATGGCTAGAAAGCCCAAAAAAATGTTGCAAGACACCAATTTAAAGCCACCTATTGCATCATCTTTTAAGCATCACCTTGAACTTTCCCACAACCAAGATGCACAGCACGTTTTCTCTGTTTAGACGAAAGCTGTGCAAGGTTGGACAAAGCGCCACTAAGACAGGCAAGAAAATTAATTAGAACTGAGCCTCAGACTTAATTACAGACTCTATTCACAGTGGATACATCAGTGGAAAAGCCTTGTCACAGCACATCAGCGCAAGCTCGCAGTTTGCCGACAACAGTGAGAGTTAACCAATAAGCAGCCCATGGTGCTCACCTGGCACCCTCCCCCGATGCTCACACTGTTCCCAAGTGTCACCAAGACACATTATGCAAAGAACAGTGTGATGACATGAAGCGTTTGAAGGGTGTGATTGTTCACAGGCCTGAGCAAGCCGCTGGTGAACAGAGCAAAGAGCCTTCGTCACACTAATGTAGCTGACCGATAATGACCTCGACCCAACAATGCATAATAGTCGGGGGAAGAAATACAAACTTCGAAATCAATACTGCCAAAAGCAATTACAAACATTACAACATACTTTGTTCAAGCAAAATACAATGATCAACATTATTGTTTTAAAAATTGGATTAGACAAACTCAGCTCAGCGAGTGACATCAAACATGCATCAGTGTAATAAGTTGATTGGCCTTTTCGACTTTTGAATTATGCATGATCTAATTGTAGCTATAAAGTAGGGATTAGGTACTGTATCCCCAAGGCATTTTTTTGTGAACGTAATCAAATTGCGACATGCCTGCATGGCTTGGATTGCTTTTATGAGGTTGTAGTGTACACTCGATTGCATCGGGATTTTATTGGGGCGAGTTATTTTCTGCACAATACGTCGTAGAGGAGGCATAGTGCACAACAACGATTATGCAATGCATCTCAACAAAAGCACACACAGCGTTAGCGCTCCAATGTTTGTCACTAAACTGCATATAATGAGGCTTGTGTGAGTCACTTCTTAATTTAAAAACAAGAGTAAAAGACATTCAGTGAATGAAATTTCATATGAAACTAATCTTGTATGCCAGTGGTTTCCAACTTTTTTTGTGTGTCACGGACCGGTTGAGACAAGTACATGCTGTTCGCGGACGGCAACCATTGTTTTCATCGCTTTTAAATCGCCAGTTTTAAAACACTGGGACTGACAACAAAGATAATGATAGCGTAATTCAAAATTTTCTAAACGTCCATTCATTTCAAACAGTGTTGTTGCACTGCACAATCAATCTAGAATAACACAGTGAAGTACTAAGAAATGGGCCATTTAGGAACAATAAATACGCCTTATAATGTCAACAAAATCATTTTTGAAGTTACGCTCCAACATACTGCGTTAGCATCATTGCTCCTCGCAAACTATGACAGCATTGATTGTTGCTTTCTTCCGGTGGCTACCGGCTCGTTATTGGCGACTAAACTGCTCATGTTTACGTGGGGAGGCAAACTGCTCGCATTTTTTTAAGCTTTCCACTTGATCACTTTGGTGCTATTTGTTCAAGTGATTCAACAGGTTTCTTGTATTGTCTCTTTTTTGACGACATACGACGCACAACAGTTTCCTCCTGCTCGTCGCTAGGGGAAGAACTTCTCTTGCCCAAATAGCTTCATCTTCGGATGACATGGATGCCCATTAGCTGCCCGTATAAGGCTGTACGTTTGGTCAATTTGTTACTATTACGTTCTTATTGCTATTTCTTCTTTCATTTATTGGCGGATTCTTTTTATTTCATCTTGCAAACTAATGTTAGAAGGGGGAGTCGGATTGGCAATAGAGTCGCGCACTTTTCCGCCACGGCTGACGGAGTAAATTTGCTCGCAGGTCTGTCTCCGTCCAGTTTGGTCCCAAACGAGCCGAGGCCCGGTACAGGTCCGCGGATGGGTGGGTGGGGACCGCTGCGACTTAATCCTGTCCCTTCAGCATCATGAGTCATTCTAGAGTTTTGGTAGCAAAATGTAGCACTTTCGGGGAAAGATATATCATGTTGAGTGAGCATGCGTGGTATGCGTGTGGTGTTTGTTACTGCAAAGCTCATCTTTTATTTTAGAGTGCGTGGATGCGGGGGTTCGCGTATCTGCACAGCTTGTGGAGGCGTAACGCAATGCAAAATTTTTGGGACTACATTTTGTGTTCATGTTTGATCTGAGATTTGGATGGTAAAAAAGGGATGCTGAAGCTAAAGGAAGGGAATGGTGACGCTGACAGGACCAAAGTCGTTGAGCTGCAGTCAAGTCAACAATAACGCTTACGTGGACAGGAAGCAGACGTTCATAAGCAAACAATTTCCCAGGCGGAATTCAAAGGATTGCCACTGATGACTTGGTGTAATGAGGGCCTGCTTTCCATCTCAGCCTGCAAGAGTGGACTCGAATGACTGAGACGCTGTGTGGAATATCCAATTCTCTGATGCCTAGACATGCCCACTTCTGTTGTCCCTCCCTCCCTCATTCATTCATTCATTCATTACTCCACCCTGCCTCTTAACAAAGCTGTGCATTAGCTCGAGAGCGCACTTACCCCCCACTAAATCCAAACTGCTACAAATTTGGTGACTTCATAGAGTGCTAACAGATCCCGCGAGCCATTTTTCAGTGCATCGACTGATCTGCTGGTGGCACGCTTCCAGCTGTTTTCCGCAACTCGCAGGCGCGGTAACACATACTGTAATCCTGTAGGATGAGAGGATAGCGCAAGGACAGGGCTACGATCAATACCCAGGAGAGCATACTGTATCAGTTACACCTACATATGTAGCACGTATCAGAAATATCAGAGGCTAAATGTGATGAAATGCGATCGGCAGATCAATGCCGATGAAAAGGTAAAGCACTCTACGGTCATCCGGGGTGATGTTGGTTAGTCATAAAAGCGGTCTTCAGTCTAATCAGCCTCAGCCTACCGTGATTCCCAGGTGTTGATTAGCCAATCAATATGACCTTGAGTGGGGGGAAGACCAGCTGGCGCTTAATCCAAAACGCCCAGTTTCATGTTTATCGTAAGTGTCTTGTATGTTACCGCTGACGGCACTTAACCTTGAAAATGCCGTGACCTTGAGAAGGAGCAGAGAGAGGAAGGGCGTGAGAGTGTGAAGCTCGCATTGATCGTTCCCGCTGAGTGGCACTCCAGAATCAAGACGCGGCGCACAGAAGCGTCATTGTCAACGTTAAAGCAGATGCCGATGTCTCCGATTAAATTGCGACGCTAAGAATGGCTGCCTGCGGTTGATTACATCGTGTGTATTACTGTGCTTACTCACCTTCTGTCCTTCTTCTCCCTCTACCCCCCCCCGGTCCCTCCCATCTCTCCCGTTCCATTGTCTTTTCCTCACTCTCTGATTTCCTATCCAGTGGGTGGCTCTGGCCTCGCTGTTCTTTATCCTGGTTTCCATCACCACGTTCTGTCTGGAGACCCACGAGTCCTTCAACCCTATCATCAACCGCACTGAGGTGGAACTGGTGGACAACGTCACGGTGGAGCACACGTACCAGGAGCCCGAGACAGCGGCCTACCTCACCTACATCGAAGGCGTTTGCGTCGTGTGGTTCACTTTTGAATTCCTCATGCGAATAACTTTCTGTCCAAACAAATTTGACTTCATCCGGAACGCTCTGAACATTATCGACTTTGTGGCCATCCTGCCCTTCTACCTGGAGGTGGGTCTCAGCGGGCTCTCTTCAAAGGCAGCTAAGGATGTGCTGGGTTTCCTCCGAGTGGTCCGCTTTGTTAGGATCCTGCGTATCTTCAAGCTCACTCGCCACTTTGTGGGTCTGAGGGTGCTGGGCCACACGCTGAGAGCAAGCACCAACGAGTTCCTTCTCCTCATTATTTTCCTCGCCCTGGGTGTCCTCATCTTTGCCACAATGATCTACTATGCGGAACGGATCGGCGCAAACCCCAACGACCCTCGAGCCAGCGAGCACACGCAGTTCAAGAACATCCCGATCGGATTCTGGTGGGCCGTGGTGACAATGACGACCCTCGGCTACGGCGACATGTACCCTCAGACCACCTCTGGTATGCTGGTGGGAGCCTTGTGCGCCCTGGCAGGCGTGCTGACCATCGCCATGCCTGTCCCTGTGATTGTCAACAACTTTGGAATGTATTACTCCCTGGCCATGGCGAAACAGAAACTACCAAAGAAAAAAAATAGGCACATCCCACGGGCACCCCAACCTGGTTCTCCAAATTTCTGTAAATCGAGCATCAGCTCACAACATCAGAGCCCCGTTGCCCACGACGACGTTTTCGAGATCAAGTTTCAAGGTAGGATGAAGCTCTTAATACATAACTGAAGCAGTCCGATACCTTGTTGACTCATCAACAGCTTGCTGGCCTGCAAAAACACATATCACTATTCAGCTGTTTCTCTCTTCCCACACTTCAGTCAGCTGATGAGTCAGGCATGAGATTAAACAGCAGACTTTCCCAGCACACGATCAATAAAATACATGATTTTCTAACTGTGAATGGAGAGAAGTAGCGATTTGGGCAAATCATTATTAGTTTTGCGCGTGACTGTTCAGAACATCGTTCAGTGATTCATTCATCGCCTTTTAGGGAAGTGCAAAGTGGATGTCATGTCTTTGCAAAGTTAAGAACAACTGAAACAAGACCTATGTATCAACACAGAGTAGAGGACAGGACTCCGCCATCTATGAATTGTTAGCAAATAATCTTGCAGCAGATGGATGCCCCAAAAGATTTGTGGTGCTATTAAAGTGTGTGTGTGTTTTTTTTAAACAATTTCAGTTTTCCAGATTTTTGAGGGACGTGGCTAAAACAGCACAATGTGACGTACTTCGGTGTCGGTCATGAGTCCCCCCTCCACTTCTATACTTGTATATGAACCTAAGCATCTTAATTCGCATTAGCAGTTTTTATTAGGCCCGAGCTTTTTAGCTAATGAACCCTGTGGTGGCTAGCACCTCTTGTTGCACAGGCTAAAGCCCCACCACTAAACGGAGGCTTTCGTTTTCGCAGCTGAAGCACATAGGGTTGTGTCGGCACATGAAACACCATTTTTCAGTGGGGAATAGTTATAAATGTTCAATGGACACGCCCACAGCATTTGAGAGTGGAGATAACAACGCGATTTTTTACGTCATTGAAGCCTGTCTGGTAGACTCAGCGATTTTTTTTTTTTTTTTTAATCTTTCAAATTTTGCAGGGTTTTTACCAACCCTCTTCTCTGTGCTGTGTCAGATTTAGAATACATTTATTTTCACTTTACACAGGGTCTTTAATGAATTCTAGCTTGGCACATGTGCCTCCATGATAGTTTGCGTAACCCTACGAACCAACATACTGGCAAACAAACTGCAATACAAACAGCGGGCTACCTCTTGCACTTACGTTTTTAACCTTGGTAAATATACAGAGTCCTGATGTGCACACAAACCATAGAAAGACCAATTACAAGTCAAACATCACACAGCAGCTACGCGATGCACAAAAAGTACACATGCGGAGCCACAGAGTGAAAAACATATTAAACACGATGGCGAAGGTCACTAGATTTTTTTTTCTTTTTCCCCGATGTGCTCTTTCATTTGTTCTTTGTTGTTGTGTGGAAAGATTCCAAGCTGAACGGTGAGGCTGCGAACGCTGCTCTGGCCAATGAGGACTGCCCTCACATCGACCAGGCCATATCTCCTGAGGAAATCTTCAGCCCCAGCGAAAGAGAGCGGCCCTGCTTCCTGGTCACCACGGCCGAGCGGCCCAACCACACAGGGGGCAGAGTGAGGAGGGGTACGTACAGTAACAGCCAATCACAGGCCCCCGTAAGATACTGACACGGCTCTAAGGCCCTAGGCAGGACACGCCCCCTTTTCCCCTCCCCTTCTTTTGCAGAGCGTTATCACTCACAGGAACATAATCATGAAAACACGCTCACACAAGCGCAAACCTCTTAACGCGACACCTTCACAGCCGCTGCTTCTCCTCGATTATTCCCACGGGAATTGTACATATTCCAAGTTAAGGCCAAGCACAATCACCGCAAATGTCAATAATAGTTGTCTACATCTACATAATATATTTTTGGATATCATGCATAGTGTAACACTACCCCTATTTATTTACCAGTGAGAAAACAAATATTTTGAAGATTTATATGATCTAGAATGTGCTGTCTTACAATGCTTAGGAATCTATTGATGTGCTACGTGTGTACCGAGTATGTATGTGTTTTTAATGATAAGTACCATGTGGGATCCTGACTTTGAGTACATTGCTCTTGGCCAGAATGGTGCATGACGTGTCTTGCTGACGGGTGCTATCAGAATGGTGAAGGAGCACAACACAATTTGAGATTTCTTTTGAAGAGGCCAAGTCCCAGTTTTTGATTTAACACCAAAATTCTCAAATAAAGCTACGAGCGTGTAGCCTGTGCATCAAAACACAAAGTACCACCAGTAGCTGCACATTTCCCTACCTGAGGTGCCTACCTTTTCTAGCATTCTACTCCAAACCATTCCTGTACCACTCCGTGCATGCCCTTGTACTCCGGATGCACTCAATGCATGGAGAATTCTGATCTGTCTCAAGTGTGTGTTGACCTCTCTTTGGAGACAAAAACAAGAAAGCAACAGGTGTAGTATTAACAACGAGGAGCACGCACAACAACAACAAAACAAAACACAACAACACTACTCATGTCATGGATCCAGTGCTGCAGTGTACTCAGAACGTTCTCTGTTTTTCAACTGAAGGTTATGAAAAGCCTTGGAGCCTTAACAGCATGTCTGGCATGAGCGGGGATGCCTCTGGAGTGTCCTCAGTGTCCGCCCTGCCCTGCAGCCCACCCTGTCTAATGCAGCACTCACATTCTCCCATCCCATCCATTATGTAGCATGGTTGAGTAGCAGATACAATGCCATTGGAAGGCCAGTCCACACTTTTCCTCAAAACGTTTTTTTTTTTTTTCAGATATCCCCCCCTTTTCTTTTTTTTTTTTTCTTTTTGACACTTTCGTTCCTGCTTTCACATTTTTATTTTCCTTCTCCTGGAAAGCTGTATCTCAACTGTTTGGATACTCCCAAGGGTTCCCCTTGGGGGGGTGTCATCATATCCTAGACTAGAAAGTCACTTTGGCGATACGCCACATGAGCATGGGTCACCTCAGTCGCTGGCAAAAGCGCCGTTCTACAGGCTAACTCCACCTCTTTTCCCCCTATGTTGACTTCATTGCCTGTTGCTCTGTTGCTTTTGATCTCGCATACTTTTCTGCCAACGACTTTCTTCTTCTCATCTGCTTTTGGCAATCCTGTGAAAGATGTAACGGTGTGCTGGACATTAACAACACGTTGCTTTTAAAACATATCCAAACTGTATCATTGCCAGGTGTTAAGGAAACTCCTCTGAAGTGCTTTGTATGTTGCAAAGTAGAGACGTTACAATTCTGAACGCGCAAAACCAGCTAATGTTAACGGAGTGGCCACGTATGAGGGAAAAAAAAACAAACAAAAAAACAAACAGCAAGATGATGTCCAATGCACAAAGGAGATGATGACAATTCCTATGATACTAGTGATGAATAATGTCAACGGAACTCAAACTGTTTGGTCCTTTGCATGAACTGCATGAGAAATTATGTTCTACATTTACAAGCTAACTGTATTGCAGTACCTGTAAGAGAAAACATTGTCTTTCATAAGCATCGCAAAGCTTTGCCATTTTTATGCATTTCTGAGACAGCTTTACAAGAGACTCAGTCATAGCGAGATTTTTATGTAGCTGCCATTCTTTGCCTTTCCCCAATATATCATATATATTTTCTTGTATTCATTTGACTTCATTTGACCACTGAAATTATTTCACTTGAGGTATTTGGTACAAAGCCAGCTATAAAGCTGGCATGAGCATTTTTTTTTTTTAAAAAAATATATCCACCGGTAGTTAGGACCTTTTTAAAGGGAGAAAAAAAATAATTGTCTCCCGCAGCCGCTCTTATGGTGTATATGCAGAAATTGAGGCAAGAAATATAACAATGGTGCTTTTGTACCAGGGTGAGGCAAAGTAAAAAAAATAAATGAAATGAAATATTTTTGACACAATACAACATTGTTGTAGCATAAAGACATTTGAAAGCTGCTTATGATTTCATTTTACAGCACACAGCTTATTCGCAATCAAAATAACTTTTTGGTTATCACGTTAACATATGGCAAATAATCTTTTGGAGAGAAACAAAAATAATCTTTTCTACACAATGAAGCACACAATGTTAATCGAGGGCCACTCGAAAACACATACAGTATATATATACGTCAGGTTAGAATAAATTGCAGGTGTCAAGAGGAGTGCAGCATGTATCTAATCAAAAAGTATCAATACTGTCACACATGTTCCGATACTCTCCCAATAATTCGACTTTTCAAGGCACTTTAACAGATGTTGACCAATCAGGAATTGGGACAAATTTCTAGAAACATTTAAGTATGAATATATGTTCATTCCGAACGAACAGAGTTTTACATTCAAAGTCATGTCTTTTGTGGTGATTAATGGACGTTATATATGAAGAAGAAAAAAAAAAACTTGTGAAGAATTGTTGTGAAGAGATGCAGGTGGGGAAAAGAAAATTCAAACCACTATGGAATGTGGGTCTTCTTGGGGAAAGGTAAATGCATGTATTTTCAATTTATGCAACAGAAAAGTATTCAAATAAAAAAGATGTACAGATAAGTCCTTGCATGAAATAAATTTTGTACTCAATGAGCGTTTAGACTCCATTTTTATTCAACAGCACATGCATACACATCCTTGCCTTTTGTCGATACTCGCGTAAGGGAAGAGAAACAAAACAAGGTGACCGACGGTGAGAGCATGACAAAATATCCGCATGACGATGACTGAAAAGTGGATCTCAACCTGTTAAAAAGGCCGCATGATCGGGCATGTTGATTTAACCGACTCTTGAGTCCGGACCAGACAATAAATCTTTGTCTGATGCCTTGGCTATACGCATGGGAAAATACACATGGTAAACCTGCCTTTACCATGAGCTACTAACGGAGCACATTTTCTTTCCCCGTCAAGTGTCATTTCACCTCTCCCTGTGCCGCAGAGGTATCAAGCCATCACCATCAATTCCGACATAAAACATACCTGGTGTAATAATTTCTTTTCATTATTGTTTGTGTTTGTTTTTTGTTTTGTTTTATATGTTTATAGAGACCCAGAGACAGCACCGGAGCAGACAACCAACCGAGTCAGTTTGTGTTATGAACCATGGTGTACCGACCACTATGTGTATGACCCATAATGGCCCATCACCCACTTGATAGTGCAGTAGCATTGTTGTGTGTATTAATTAGTACTTTTTAAATGGGTGTGAAAGTGGCAACCTGATCATCACAAACTCAGCATAGATGTAGCACTGAGGACGTTTTGTTGTCAAGCCTTATGTAGCTAAGTATCTGTGACTGGTTACTGTGTTGTAATCTGTGTGCCTATTTTCTGTGTGTGACAGTGATGAAGAAGAGCTTTTTTGTGCGTGTGTGTGTGTGTGTGTGTGTGCTGACGTGTGTACCAATGTTTTGGAGTGATCATCAAATATTTGTGTGGTTCCTGTGTTCAAAGACTAAAAAAAAATGGTTGCTCTGATTTCAAATCACCTTCCCCTGTCACGTCAAACCCTTGGGAATACACCGTGAACTTTGCACACTCGTGCTCACCTCTTTTGAGACTTTTGCGCTTTCTTGCACCGCTCCACTTTTAACATTCCTTTGATGAGTTTTTAGCAACCACCCACCCCCCAAAAAAGTACCATACTTGAACTCCGTCTTTATCTTGTATTTTTGAGGCATTACGTGGTCAAATATGCTGTTAGAAACTAGCAGAAAATCACTGAAGTAGAATTGGCGTAGTATCCCCTCTGTTTAAATTAGTAATACCTGTACAGTTGCCGTAAAACACTTAATACACCGTACTGGACAAGTGCCTCTGTCATATAAATTCTTAACACTCAGTTGTTTAACATGATGAAATAATGTAGTGCAGCTACAGATAATTTCATTTGAATCAATCAACAGAGATTGATAGACTAACATCAGCACCGAGCTCAGACACCACATATATAAAGTTGACACCTCCTGTAAAACACAAAATTTGGGGTAGGGAAAAAATGTGATCAATCTCATCCTTTACAGAAAAATGCAAAATGTGTGTGTGTGTGTGTGTGTGTTACTAGCTCAACACACATGCCATTTTTGGGGGGAGGTGGATTAATTTTGGAGATTACGAGGATTCCGCCTCACACCAGAAGTAAACAATCGACTTTTGATAAGTTACTTAAAATATTCCCCAAGTTTTAAGTTATGAAATAGCCTAATCTTCACAATTAAAAAAAAGGCATTTTACAGCAGTGTGTTGACTTTTTATATGCGTAGGAGCCCAGTGTGGATTGGTATGGAGAGGCAACGAGCATCATAACGAGTAGATAACAACCAAGATAGCCTTGTTCGAAACGCAGCTTACATTGTTTGGAAAAGTTAAAAATGAATGGGAGCAACTTTTTCACAAATGACTGCAGTCACACTGAAGACCAACCACTGGGAACTGTGTGCTTGTCACTGTCTGACACACAACCAAACATCAGCAACGTTACGTTTCAAAACATACGAGGCAAACACATGCGTGACACTGAGTGAGAGTTACAGAGTGTGTGGGTGTGTGTGTGTGTGTGTGAGTGTGTTTTGAACACCATGCATTTTGTGGCTAGTTCTCTTAGTTGGGTGTTCAACGGTAGTTTAGATTGGTTTGTTGGTTTGGGGTTTTTGGTGTCGTTTCTGAACCATACCGTTCAGACTTGTACAAGAAATAGTGTTAAATAAAATATCAAAAATAAAAATAAAAAGAGATTTTCAGGGGGTGTTCATTTATTGTTTTCAAAATCTTGGTAAAAATTTGGTGTGCATATTATATTAGCATAAACAGATCAAACTAAAAACAGCAAAAATGTAAAAATAACTTGAGCTATTGGCCTTGATGTGTATGTTGTCACCTGGTACGACTGCACTGCAGATGTCTTATAAATGTGCAAGTTGGCTCAAATGCAGCAGGCAAACTTCCCCAAGTGGAATTAATGACAAGTACAATATCAAAGTGGCAATAAGACAAACAATTCTAAGTGAGACAGTTGGCAGAAAAAAAACATCCATGTGTGAGCAGTAAATCATGAGCTGGTAAGAGATATTCCAAAGTACAAGACATCAGAGTTCGAGTGCCTCCTAACGCTCAAGATCACAGCAATAAAAGTGTCGACGTGGAAAGATGAAGATGTAGCCACAGCTGGGCCCCGCCCCCATATTATCAACGCCTTCAATCCTTCGGGAGGGCCAACACGGCCAGAGGGCCACGAGGTGTACAAATGGCCATGTCACGTCAAGATATCGCGCCTCCAACGTGGCCGTCAAATTGACGGACTGACTAGAGAAACGTGACCTCGGACATAACTCATGTCCACACACACAGAGGCATTTAGGACACTTAACTATACCGAAAGGTCTGGTGAAAGTTGCTGACTAACGCTTCGCTAGCTAACACGAGTCAACACATTTTTTACCGTTTTTCTTTTGTTTTTAAACTCAGCAATGCAAATAAACTTTGAGTTGATTTTTAAATTCTGAATTGGCCTTCTTTTTTTTAATCTAGCAGATCAGATTTTCATGACAATAACATAATAATTTAATATGAAGTATATTTAGACATTACAGGTTAGGTTCAGCGATAATTGGAATGTCTTTCTGCAATGCCGTAGCTATAAATTATAAAGCATGGTAAAATCTGGATTAGACTTATCAGATCGATTGGATCGGCACGTCATTTTGCACGACATTGATTGAATCTGCAAAATAAGACATGAAAGCAAACATAGTTTCGTTCACTCCAGGGAGGTTCTGTGCTGCCATTATAACCACCTCCACACTCCAATGTTCCGTGCACTGAATTTTTATCATCGTTATGGGGAGAATTTTCTATGTTGTGTTTTTTTTTTCCCCAATGCATTTCAGCGGCCGTCAATTAAACATAAATTTTGTCTATTCGGTGAGTTTCATTCCCCCGCGAATAGCGGGTGTCAAGTATACAGTAAATAAACAAGTTGTTTAAATATCACTGGCATCAAGTCGAAACCTTGTACCATCAATTCGTCCCTTTTCAGGAGACTCCAAAAAAAGGCATGTTTGCTCAACCAGTAACATTACATCATTAAAGTGAGCAATCTTGGTCAGTAATTTGGAAAAATAACTCACATGCGTGTACACTAACAGTATAGATCTTTTTTTTTTGTTTGTTTTAAAATAAAATTTACCAAATTATGCCTTCTGAGGTCCAATGGCAGCGATATATTGAAATGGCTGGTTCATCTCCTGGTCGTAGGGGTTATAGTTTTTATTTATTTGTTTTGTAATGTTGCTAACGGTGATGGGCTCCAAAATCCTGATCTCGCTGCTGCAACACACCTGATTCAAATGATCGGGTTCGTCATCAGGCTCCTGCAGCGCTTGCCGATGAGCCAAGTTTGACACCTATGGTGTCAAGCCTAATTTGTATTGCGCAAGCTTTTATAGGTCAAACCGAAAAACAAAACAAAACAAAAAAATGCTGTTGACCGCTCTCATCACTCAGATGAGTGTTCATTCATAAATTAATTCCATAACAGGAATTGAGATCTAAATCTGAGTGGCATGATGGCTCCAATGTAAGTGGCGTGCGTGCAGAGTTTATCACTTGTCTTTGCACGTATTCCCGACGCACACCGCCATTGAGTGTCCAGCCCCGCAGCCAATGACAAGAGGTCTGAGGCCGGGAACGAGTTGCGGCTCAAAGACGTCTGCCAGCGAACCGTCGCCGCACATTCCGTGTTCATTCCAGCCCCAGGAAAGGAGGCGCTCCCCTGAGAAGGAGAGGGATCAGGGGTCAGTGTAGCAAGGGGTGAGCTAATTTTCACAGCCTGGGAGCGGGTGAAGCAAAGTTGCAAAGAAGAAAACAAACGCGCGCACACACACACAATGACACCCAGTCAGCGGGAAATAAAGCCTCCGTGCTCATCACAGCTGGACGGCTTGTTAGTGGGTGTGGTCAGGGCTGTATCACCGAGGAGACACGTGCCATGGCAACACAGTTACCTAATAGGCTCCATTACCATGGCAACAGAAGCGAGCTTGCTTTCTCAAGGGTAACACATCCCGAGCTCTCTCAATCTGGCTGTCGTGTGTCTTTCATGCTTTGTCTGTCCGTCCACGTTGCCGAATCTCCTCTCCCGCTCAGAGTCGAAGATTTGGACGCACGCGGCGAAACATATGCGTCGGTCAACGGGCAGACCGAGATGTCATGCCAGCAAGCTTATGTCAATGTGGCACTCTGCCAGCAAGGGCTACGAAAAGACGTGCCACAGCCTTTCCAAATGACGCATTTACTTACAAATCACTTTTTGGTATTCAGTAACAAGTGTGAATCTCAAAGTGAAATTTCTGTTTGGAAGCATTGTGCTCAATGAGGGTGAGAGCCTGGTTTGAGCGCCGTGCTTTATTCATGGACTCACTGTCAGGAGCATACCGCACATCAGTGTTTCCATGGCAACAAAGTGCTGCACTTTCTGCACAGCAAAAAAAAAAAAAAGGATTGAAATCAAGACGCTCAAACCAAAAGCAATTTCCTTCTCAACACATCCTGTTGATGAAGATTTTATCCGTTCGGCCGCCTAAATGTCAAATAATTATCACTTCCGCACCATTGGTGACTCACTCCATCTCCTATTTTAGGCACGTGAGCATGAACAGTGTTTTGTTCTTTCTCAGATTGCATGCAGAGCATCTTCGGGCCCTCTCGCACCTTCGACCGCAGACCATGAATCCAATCGGTGAGGAGTATTTCCTTAGGTGTGCTGTATATGTGGAGAGGCAAAGCCAGCAACAGATATCATAAGCAGCATGCAGAGCAGTGCTCTTGGTTGGTTTCCGCCTGACCTACTTGAGCACCAGAAATAGCAGCACTCAGGTCTCTACTTCCAATCCTGTTTTGCTATTTCATTGCTCCTGCCACCGCCACGCTCAAGACAGCTGGAAGAAACGAGGGGAGCGCGGCAGAGGAAGCGAGTTACCCGAGGTTGACTTGAGCGCTCCCTTTCCCTCTTTTGCCTTCTCATACTTTGGAGCAGGGGTGGGCCCAGTTTAGCGCGCGGGCCACACGCAGCCCACACGCAGCCCACACTAATGTCTAATCTAAATAATTCATTTACTTCAATAGGACATGAAACACCTCTTTCGGGAATCGAAGAATATTATCTCATTCAGTACCAGCCAATTCTGGACCAAGTCTGAAAAGACGTTTAAAAACGTCTTTGGGAGTGAATGAGTTATAAGAAACAGTCCCCTTGTACAAAAATTGATGAATTCCAATGACTTCATATTTGTTCACAACCAAGCCTATTAGTGGCTCTGTGGATTTCACAAATTACTGACCACTTCAAGTGTTGAAAATATCTTGCCGTCTTTGACAAAGCAATGTCAAAGGCTCAATAAACGTTTTTTTTTGGGGGGGGGGGTTGCAGATGGGAAGATTCCACCGGAATCTACTCCTGTCCATTTAACTTTTTATGAAGTGTTACAAAACTAACACCTATTTTATGCTGATTTAAATATAACGAACAGTAGTTCACATTTGACATCATTTATGAATGAACTGGCCCACCTGTCTGTTTACCAAGTCAAACGCGGCCCCTGAGCACAAACGTGAGCCCATCCCTGCTCTCAAGCTTTGTGAGAGCCGATAGTGACGGCGCGTTCCTGCTCACTTTTTCTTCGTTCTGACAGCCTGTCCGAATAACATACAATGCTGCATTTTAAAAATACCTTGCATGTGCTTTGAAGGAACATTCTGCTCGTGTTTCATCTGCCTCCGATGTATTTATACTCACTCTGATGTAACAACTGGGTCAGTGTTCAAAATTTAATGTGAGAAAAATTTGACTTCTAAAAATCCATCATGCAACTTGGTGGCTGTAACGCAGGGAACGAAAGGTGTAAATCTTGATATATTTGATGAGGAAGCACAAGCAGATTTGTGGGCTTCTCGTTCAGGAATGTGTAATATTTTGCTCTTGTGTGTCTTAACGTCCCCTGTCCTCCAAATGGAAAAAGTCGCCTGAAAATCTGTGTGTGATTAATTCAGCTCATTTACAGGGCTGTTGGCATAATTGCATTTGTCAGTGATCCCCATCCTAGCGAGCCATGATTACTTCCTTCAGGAAAAGGCCACAGAACGATGAAATGACCTCAGAAATCTCCGGAAGTCAACAGAAGGATAAATGTTTCACAATGGTGTGACATCTCGAACATATTGCACAATTCCCCAGTAAAAGTCAAAGAGACTGATTTATTTCTTCCTTCTCTTGTGTCAACCACGATGGCATAATCGCTTGAGCGGTGTTTACTTCCAGTACAGTTGTGTTGGCATCTCGCCCAGATTTGACTAATATTACATAATTTAAGACAACATAATCAAACACTCAGATTACTGAATCTTGAGAGAGAGTACTCACCTACAATAGCGAGGTTATGTTCAGATCCACATGCAATCTGCAGGGGAAAGAGCCAAGACATTAAAACGCACGCTGGAGGCGGACACTGAACTTTCACAAAGGACGTCATTGCCAAAGATTGCTGAGCCACCACACACATGCAAACTAAGATGATACATTTTAAATATTGAATCATTTCCAGATCCCCCCCCCAAAAAAAAACAAAAACCCCAACAACAACAGCAACCTTCTTTGAAAGGTGAATTTAATAGGTTGAACATTGGTCAGGAAAACGAGCAGCTGTCTTTATCATTAAAGCGAACAAAACATTGTTCTGCTGCCAGAGAAGTTCATGCCAAGGACGAGAATGTGCCCTGAGTTTGCTGACTAACCCTTTTTTCCCTTATAAGCAATGGGTTTTTTTCTGTGGGTTTTCCACTGTTCACAACAGCAGAAACTGGATGTGACATCTACCAGCAAATGTAGAAATCGACATTTGAGCTTTGAGGTCTCTGTGTGCTGCTATACATGCCTCCAGCTTTCTCCTATTGTAATCAACATCTTTATAAATAGGCCTTTGTCTGCTGACTGTCTTTTTTCCACTTCAGCATTGCAGAGTGGCAAGTAAGTCCAACAACGGGCTATTATTTGTTATGCTCACATGCCTCATAAAAATGTGACAGCTAACTAAACATCGACCCCGCGGGTGTGCACGCACGTCACGAGAGAGCCCCACCGGGCTAGAAGATTCATTGTCCACTCAGCAAATCCATCTTCACCTTTAGCTTTACGCACGTAAGGTGACAGCACAATGACATATGCCGCGGCCGCTGCATCGACAATTCCCGGGCGTTGGATAAGAGCAATCCGGAGCTCACCCTTGTCCAACCTTGAGATCTGCTTTATTAGCAGCCCTCTCATGTCATATAGCAACCATTTGGAATACAGGTTAACTGCCATGCGGCCATATAATGGCCCCTACGGGAGAAGAAAACTCTTGACTGTGCAAGATATTTAATGGCTCTCTAGCCTGTGGACGATAATAGAAAAGTGTGCATGTTTTTTTATTACACATATAATGATGTATTACATCAAGGTGTCTCACTCTCATTCGGTGAACTTTGACACATCCCATACAAAACTTTCAGCTTCCTTGTGATCCATTTGTGGGTGTTGGCTGCCTCCTGCTGGATTATTAAAGAACTACATGATGAACATCAACCTGACCTTAGTGAAAATTGTAGGAACGAACGACAACATTATTGGTTTTGCGGTTCGATGTGTATTAACGAGACGCAAAATGAAAATTTTGACCCACAAACCGTGATGTGAAACCGCATATATTGAGCCTTGTACGATAAGTCTCACCTGTGTTGCTCCACAGAGGACATTCACCTCGGCAGGCAGGAAAGTCTGCCTGCCATTGTCTGCTGATTGATGCTCAGAATTCGGGCCATCTGTCAGAAGCCGGCCCAGTTGTCCGTAATTCCCTCTGCCCCAAGTGAAGACTCTCCCAGTCTCTGCAATTTATGTCTCCATTAATGGCACATGTAGGCTGCAAAAAACATGATGCTTTTTTTTTTTTTTTTTTTTTTTTACTGCAGCTCAGCTTTTTGGGCAATAATATGAGTCCAACCGCTCCATACTTTTACAACTTTCTCTCCATTCAGCAGTGAGCGCTTGAGCAGAGCAGGAGTGGACAAGAAGGGCTCGGTGGCCGTCAGCTGGTTGTGCTTGTTGCTTCCCCACAGAAATAGATCACCATCTCCTGCATGTACCGATGGGGGCAACATTAGTCTTCATTTGGCAGAGGCAACGCAGTAATCAGGAGCCACTGATCCACTAATTACAGGACAGACTAGAGAGAAGATGGTTACATGACAGTTCAAAAGTGCAAACTAGAAGGCATTGCGGGCAGAAAAATATTTGAAATGCATTCATGTAGACATATGCTTTTCATTTAAGTTCTTTTGACAACTCCTAAATATTAATTTACTTTTAAGACCTTAGCGGACTATTTCACCAATACAAAGCTGGACACTTAGAAGCTACATTGGTGCTTTGAAATCCAAGTTTGATTCTTATTCTTAACAAGGTAAATAATACCATAAATAGAGTGCAATACAAATACATATAGTAATAACATGATTAAAGAGAGTGTGAAGAATTAAACTGTACACCACGATTAATTCATTACAACAAGTGAATCACCAAAACTGAAGTTTTTTTTTGCAGTTGATAAAAAATCAGATAGCTATGTTGTCTGTCTACATGTGCTGCTGCACTATTTCTGTTCCAATGTTTGTTTCTTGAGACACACCACCACATTGATGCTATTCGTGAGCCTGTCTATGGTGTTTCCTATTATGTGTTAGCATTAGGCTAGCAGACTTGAAGTTATGTGGTGGTTTTAAAAACATACGTAATTCTCCTTATTTTATGTTTAGTTGAACAGTAAACCTTAACTGGGATATGCATTAACCCTTAGAATTCAGTTCGTGTGTGGTGCAGCGTGCTACAAGCGATACCTGTAAGGCATACACAATGTGCTGAGCCCGCAGTGACAACACGAGCCATCTTCTGATCCAGACCTGCAACATGGCCAAACCAATCCTGTCACCACAACGAACATCAAGCGAGGCATCAGTCCTCTGCTTTCTATAGGCAAAAATTCTTCTCACCTGGCACGAGAGAAGGAACCTTGGAGTTGAGGTGTGATGGAACAGGGTCTGGATTCAAAGCTCTCTTGGCAAGGCTACAGAGACCTGTCCCCCACTGGTAGACGCATCCCGAGTCTGGGTGCAAAACAGAGGATGAGATTGGGCAGGATTTATGATTGACAGTAAACACAGTGATCCAGTTATAGTGTATACCTGTGATTGCAAGAGCGTGCCGGAGGCCAGCTGTGACGTTCACCACACGCTCCTTCAGACCCTAATAATAAGCAACAAGATGAATTAAAGAGAAGGTGCAACTGCACAGTTAACAATGACATTCAATTTGATGTAAAACAACAAAATATAAATATACAAACACAAATAATGCTGTCAGAGCTATTGCATAACCATCACATCATAATGCAGATGTCTGCCATAATGAGAATTGTTGGAGCTTGGCCCTACTCAGTACAACTCCACTTAACTTCAAGAATATTATAGATGCAATACATCATAAGGAAAAATAATTCTGTTCTCCTGTTAGCTCTCATTGGATAGTGCTAATGTGCCTAACATTGTGGCAAGTAAGGGTATTGTGGCATGGACAGGCCCTTCAAAAAACAACCAAACCAACCATAATGGGTGCCTCTACCATGTGCTCACCTCAACGAGCAACAGTTCTGCAGAGTGTGAAGTCATCTGATCAATACCCAGCTGTCCAAACACGTTGGAGCCACATGCTAACAGGTTGCCACAATCTGTGTGAAATAAGATGATTAGTACTGTCCTGGAATGGTTGCTATGTTTCCACGGCTTAACTGTAAACAGTCATACTTCTTCATCCTACTTCTTCATCCTGATGTGGGGAATTAATATTTTTGTTTTTTTTAGGGAAATTAGTGAAAAGGACTATAGTATGTCAAAAATGAAATGCTGTCATTAATCACCAGTAAGAAGAAGAGTAAAATCCCAGCCACAGGCAACATTTGTGACTCGCTGATTCAGGCCTGAGCAGTGCTGAAGTGTTGAGCAGCTGGCAGTGTGGCCGAGTCCAAGCTGGCCTCTGTGATTTTGCCCACACACAAACGCCTCTCCGTCGTCTGTACAGAAGCACATGATGATGAAACTTTTTGTTTACACTTACCCGAAAAACCATTTCCCAAACTACACATTCATTGAAAAACCGATCCATCATGAGATAGGACACATACATGAAGTACACAGCAGATGCTATCAATGCTGTGGTTCAAAAAAAAAGGGGTTCACTGTTCAGGTAGGAGACTCAAGTCACATGACTTAACTCGAGCCAGATGTAAGGCTTTCTTTTTCTGTTGCTTGGATAAAACTTATCAAAAGACTCAAGACGACTTCGACCTGGTAATAATGAGTTCCTAACATTATTAAATTTGGATACAAGGGTTAGGTTTTTGATGGGATCTGCTCGTTGAAGAGAAACAAGTGGAGGGCTCCTACTAATTAGAACAACTACATTCAGCGTACTGTTAAGTCGCATATTCAATTATTTGTTTCTATGCCGGTCCGTCGAAATATGTCTTTCCTTGAAACCAATCCACAGAGCAAAACGTTAGGAAACCACTTAGTTAACCCATAGGTGGTCAAAAACATTAACAAAGTTTCACGTCCATAAAGTTATACGTTTAATTGAAAAGAATGTGATACAGTCCAATACAGAGACTATTTTGGAGCCATCAAAAAAATGTCATTAAGAATGTGCTTAGAACAGCTAACGAATGCAAATACAGATACTGAATGCAATGCGGCTAATGTGCGAATATGTTGTGACTGAACAAAATTGTAAGACTTGCTTAATTAACCCTTGTAAAGACTTGCTTGAGTTTAATATTGATGACTTACCAGTGACAACCACTGAGTGTCCCCCGCCACCGCAAACAGCCTGGACTGTCCTTCCATGCAGAGCAGCCTTGTTCGAGAGCCGTGGGAGTGACTGGTCCTCCTCATGCCCCTGTCCATGTTGCCCGTAACTGTTGGCCCCCTGACAGACATATTTAACATTCGCTGTCAACCAGTTTTGTTTTGTTTTTTTTTTAAGTTTGATAGTGTCCAAACTTTTGTTGAATTCTGTTTACTCGCCAAGGAAGTTACGTAAACTAAATCTTTTTCAACGAATATTAAGCTAACAGTAGAAAAGCAGAATCGTTGACTTTATCAAAGTGCATGACATAATCCGTGAAAATTAATAAAAACACAACTGGCTCCAAATGAATACGTATAATATGAGGTTAGGTTACAAACTTACCCAGGCGAGTAAACAAAAGTCCTGCCGTGAGCTGTTTGCCATGAGCCGTAAATGATTGCGTTAAGATGATTCGCGTCACTGTCGTAAATTGTTATGAGTGCCAGTCGTTCTCAAATGTGTAACTTGAAGGCAATTCAGTGAGTACTTTATATTTTAAAATCTATAGAAAAAGTAGCATCCGTGCAAAAAACAGAACAAAAAAAAAAGATATTGATCACAGCAGTTGCCGCCTTGCCACGAAAAATGACAAAGATCCTTATTGAAACACAGTCCAAAGGTAGGCAGCGCTTTATACAGTTTGTACATGATTTTTTTTTGTGACCAATCCTATGTCCTTGAACTAGAATTCCAAAAGGCGATTCAGTTTTTTTTTATTTAATCCAACAAATGACTACAAATATGCATATACATACTACAATCCAAATTATAACCATTTTTACCCAGTTGAGGCAAAGAAGTCAAACACATTTTTGACACTATAAATACATATAATTTTTATATATTTGCATACATAACCTACACCATTAATTATGTATAGAAATTGGTTTGTACAAAAATATTTTTTTTTATATAATTCAGGAGGGTTCTAATTATATCTACTTTTTAAAAGGTAGCCCTATTACTAGAAGGGGTGCATGGGCTAAATCTGTCAGCATAGACCACCAACATATTTGCATTACATTGCTTGTATAATTTCCCTCAACCTTACAGAAAAAGAAACAATACATACACAATAATAATATAAAGGTACGGTTTATATTTAATCACTGGTGCAATGGAGATTAATTGGATACTGAAACAAACAAAAAAAAAAATACATCACAAGATCATGTACAACAGCAGGTTGGACAACATGGCTGACTTGAATTCAGGGGAATTTCTGGTACAGGTGCAAACAGACAGGTTGCAAGGTAGAAGCCAAATGGATGAAAACAGTGCTCTTTTGATTTGCGCAATGCACTGGTGTCATAGCATGAATGTCTTTGTACGCGAGAAGGACAACAGGGTGTTTTTGCCAAAATTAGTGCACATTCATTGTAATGAAAACAGTGATACGCAAGCAGCATGTCTAGAGCAGTGCTTGGGGGTACAACACAAACGGTCTGCAAGCGGGTTTTGAAATTTCAGATTCCGAGCTGCTTATTGAGGCGGTTCAGAGCATCGCCCACGATGTCGAGCTCGTGTCGGAGTTCCTCCACAACGCTATTGATGCTGGGCGTGTCTTTAAGCACATCCACACTCTGGGTGTAGGGGTTGTACCGTACTGTGAAGGGACGCTTAATGGTCTTCGCAAACTCCCTGAAAGAAATAAGATAATGTAATTTTCCGCATATGTCGTCATAATCTCAAATTTGGATGAAGAATCGCGGGTAGATCATGTTTACCTCATCTTGACTTTGGCCTCCTCAAAGCTGTCTGACACAAAGTAAACATCTTGAAAGGTTGTAATGATGCATTCTTGTTTGGATGTAACTTTGGGGTCAAATGGCATGATCCTTGATTTTCCGGAAAGTGCATGCTGCAAAACAGAAATAGACACTTTTGCAATGGCAAACATTTGATTATATCTGATCGCTGGGGTTCAGAGGCAAAAACTTTTTAATCTACTTTGTAAAATCGTATTAAGACTGTCTTATTTAAAGTAAAGTGATATCATAGCGAACCAAAGATACGCTGGTTGAGAGGAACATTGCAGAGCCTGAGCACTTTACCGACTCAACCAACCTGGCTGCATGTAATTTATTTCCTCTTGCCCGAGCACAAGGTTATCAAGGAGACCGATTAAAAGACGTCAACGACATCAAGATGGCAATGATGATGGGGCTGCGGAGGATCTTAGAAGAATCCTACTAGGAGTGTATGAAGGTATTGCAGAGAAGGCTGCCAATTAGACTCCATGGGAGTTACTTTAGCTGGGTCCTTCAAAGGCTCCTCCTCATCTAGCCTCTGTGGACCGCTAAACTGTGGCGAATTTGGACAGGCCTGCAGTTAATTTGAAATCATCCACGCGTTTGTCTGTTGGGAGCGGAAACGAAAATGCAGAGTCTGTCATTCACCTGTGAATCTTCGTAAACAACCAATTAGCAGCCAGCGTCAGGCGGGAGAGGGACTTTACTGAACATACTGCCATGCTATTGGCGTTCACGAATCAGTTTGTGTCGAAAAAGGGCAGCGTTGAAGAACAGCAGAGCAATGCAGGTTACGAAAGCGTGCTCCAAAGCAGCCGTTGCTCCGTGTCAGTTGCCATGAAAACAAAGGTTAATTTGAAGGCCATGTGAATTTGGAAGGAAAGGAAAACCTATGGTTGGAATTTGGAATATATCTTTGGGCACTATACACCATTTTTTCAGTAAAAATGCAGGTTCATCATTTTTGTAGTTAAAATGCTTTAGATAATCAAGCAACTTTTAACTTCAAAACAATTTGAATTCAAGTTACAGCAAAAAAAAAAAAAAAAAAAAATCAAATAGTTTGGTCTTATTGGGGGTTCCCGTTAAACATTTAATTTTTACCTTCAGCTCACTGATGGAAGATAGCAGGCCAGCCCCATACGCTCTCAGCTGTCCTTCCTGTTTGCATAGGCCAAATTCCACTGTGAAAAAATAACACTGAAACAAAAAAGACAAAAAAAAAATTTCCATAAAAATACAACATGGAAGCATTGATTGAATTGCAGGCTTTAGCAATGGCACTCACTGTGGCCAGTTTCTGAATAGAATCGTCCGAGGCTCCCAATGAGGCCAGGCCGATCTCCTGGGAAAATTGTGCAAAACTGGGTTCAGCCAGTAGGGGGACATGACCCAGCAGCTCGTGACACGTGTCCCTGGATAATGACCAGTTTTTCATGAATGCCTGCTTTCTTCATCACATTTGCGTGCTGTGTAATACTCACGGCTCAGGGGTGTATAAGGGGTCAGAGCTGTGTCGCACGTACTGGGTGCAGTGGAAAACACGGAAGGCCAAGCCGGCCAGGAAGTCACGAGGGGACAAGTAGCCAGCCACGGGCCTGATGGTAAACCCAGTACGTTCTGGAGAAGGCAAATATTTTTATGGTTTTGAAACCAACACGACGGCATACTTGAAATGAAACTCACCCCTGAGGAAGCGAGAGACATCCTCCAGTTGGGGAATGTTGTCTTCTCGACATTCACAGTATTTGGACAGCAGTGGCAAATTTTTTAAGTATTCCCTACAAGCGTGGCTGGGGTACAACTTGTTGAGCTCTCTGTACACAAGACCCCAGGTCTTCACTTCCTCCTCTGTGAACTCGATGCGGGGAATCAGCTCACCGCTGCGGAAAACAAATCCCCCCCACCTCCCGTCAATTACGAGAAAAACATTCACCTAATTCCAAAATGAGCCTTAACAAAAGCTTACTGTTTGTAGGCCATCGCAAGATCTGCAAAATACTTTCTTCTTCTGCGGTAGACATTGTCCTTGAAACCCTGAAGGAGTCGAATAAAACAAATGACATGTGGTGAAAAGTGAAAGAGTGTAACCAGAGGAATTTGGTCCAACGTACCGGATGGTCAGCATCCAAATCAGAACCATACATCAGGACACGATTAGCACATTTGTCCAAGTCAGATATTTTCTTCGGGAACCATGGTACCTTATGCATATCTGGGGAGGTATTTGTGTTGATTAGAGAGTGATTGGCAACCTGCCATATGTGGAGTCCTAAAATCTGTACGTAACTCTACATACCTTCGTCCTGTAAACAGGAATTATCTGGAGGTTCCATGTCCACCAGGCTCACGTGCTTCCGCAGCAGCTGGATGATTTCATTGAGTTGTTCGTGGTTGCTGTCGCAGTCCACAAAGATTTCAAACTCTGAGTTGCGCCGTTTCGATTTCCTGGACTCAATGTGCACAAGGTTGACGTGATTTTCCTGCAACCCATTATAAGAACCACGGTGAAATTTGCCTTACAGTTAAACTGCGGAAATGTGGCTATCAACTAAATGCAAATATGATTCCACTACATACAAACTACTGTACCGAGGTACTATATGGTGCGGATTTTGAATAGGATGTATGAATATGAAAACGTGTCCATACTTGGAAGAGTTTGAGTGCCTTCACAAGTCCTCCCACTTCATTCTTGAGGGAAAAGATAATTGTTGCTCTGCCTTTCTCTGGTGTATTCTTCTCTGTGCTTTCTTCGATTTTTGTGAAGGTTGATTTGTTTATCTGGAAACAGTCATTATTGATTGTTACACTGAAAGATCATGAAATATATCCAAATTGAGGCACAAAGGAATTAGTAACTTTCCTTGCTATAACTTCACCCGACCGCGTCAAGCCTCATGATCAGGATTTTGGAGCTGACCAGTGAGTCAAAAAAAAAAAAAAAGGCATGATATATTTGCCATGGGTGTAAAGTCTATTTTTAGCACAAGTGAAAGTTACTTGCATAATTTGCATATAAAAGCAAATCTGATGAATCAGTTCTTCAACTCATTGCAAATGGGAACTGCCATCACCTCTTTGGTTGAAAATATCTGTATTATCCTTATAATTGTGCTTGTGAAATAAAAACGTGTTCTTCGATCGCTCGAATCAAATAGGCAATCGCTCGAGTCAAATATGCCTCTTCAAGTGCCGAAGAACCATAACTCAAGGATGAGTCACGTAGCCGATGTTCAGCACACCATCACTTTAAAAGCATTCATCCATCCCAAAATCAGGAATATCTTGGGACCGTGCGCTACCACGTGCGCTGACCCCAGTTATTTGTTTCCATCGGTGGAGAAAACCCACGTGCACATGTTCACATGCAGGCAGATAAGAACGCGGTAAGTATGTCAACGCCTCAGACAGACACAGAGAAGGTGTGCAGTGAGCACGCACGCAGAGATTAACGTCACGAGACTCCCATTTCAGAACCAGGGACAGTAACCTCACGTTGACTCACTTATGCTAACGCCATGGGAAAATTCATTATAATCCTGCTCAGGTAACCTCTAACATACTGGCATACAAAATAAAATAATGATTAAAAAAAAAAAAAATCTTCAAACGCAGTTTTTGGAGTACCGGTACACTAAAATTAAAAAAAAAGTGTGCTGTTGAAATATTTTTTCTCCATTTATGTACACATTTTCCCACAAAATTGAGTTGCTGCCTACCACATTTTGCCTTTCAAGCGTAGCACAGACCACCCGGGTGAGTATGTTTCGGTGGATCCATGTCTGTAGAGCCCCTGAAAACATGACTGGATGAGGTTGCCTCGGGTCACCTCTTTGCGTCTCAGTTTAACCAAGATGAACTTGTCTCTGTTTCCTCAAATCGCCTTGCAGCAATCGCTTTTAGACGGAGGGAAAGCCTATTGTTAACCCCTCGTGGGCTCAATTCTGAACGGACAGCATGCATTTTCCCACCCAGTGTGTCATTGTATCTAACTAACTTTTCTGAAATGCATACAATATTTATTGGCATAGTATGTCACTATTGATTTTGCAAGTTGAATGAAAAACACGTATTTCCGATTAAAGGTATTTATATAGGCGATAAAAATATGTCGAAGCAACATTCAAAATTTTGATGTGCAATTTGAATGGATGTTGCTGTTATTGTCATCAATTGCAAGTGTTTTGCCTCCACTCGGAGTCGCCCTCCTTTTGTGTGTTGTCCATTCAAATAAGAGACTGAAAGAGAAAAAAAAAAACTAAACTAAAATCTCTAAAATGCTTGCTCATGACCATGCCCTGTCTCCACATCACAAAGTACCATTGCTCTTCTGGTCAACAAAAATGAAAATTCTCATCTTACCTCATTGTTGAGTAGTTTCTCTTCATAGGCATTATTCATGGAGTCAAACGATCTCCCCCTTCGAGGTCCCTCGATCCTGTTGGAGTACATTTCAAAGTGCAGCTCGGTTTTATCCACCTCTACTTTATTTATTCAGTCGTTGCAGGTGGATTATCTGCGTAACCCCCTCTATGTAAAGTAGGATGTGGATGTGTAACCCTGAGAAAGCAAGCACGCTTTGCTATTTAACCACAGAGAGAATGAGGAGGGGGCTTAGGAGGGCAATAATCTCAGGGACAGCAGCAAATAAAAAAAGAGCAGCATCACTTACGTAATTTGGGTGGGAAAAAAGTGCCCTCTTTGATTTTTTTTTTTTAAAGAAAGGTTTGAGAACAATCACAATGCCTAGTTTTGGCAAACAGATTTTTATTTTTATTTTTTTATGGTTGAGAAGTCATTCACTATGCACATGAAAAAAAAATCATGTTGCGATCAAACACGCGAAGACATTGATGCTCGAAAACCTTCGTGTTGTAGTTCATTCCTGTAGTTTAGTCTGAGAGGAGGTCAAGGTTTAAGAGGATTTAGGAGTGCGGGCCACCTGCCTTCATTGTGCCCAATATTAACCCTTTTTTTTTACCCCCAACAACCCCCCACCCCACCCCCTTTAAAATCCACAGCTCTGCCTTGTAAGCAGCTCCATGTTTGGGAGCACATGACATCTATAATCTACGTGTTTTGCTTTCTCTTAATAAGATCAAGGCAATCAGTGAAAAGGGGCAATTAAAATGAGTGCAAGACTTACAAGATACTTAAAACAACACAGCCACTCTCACCGACTGTAGATGAGCAAGAGGAGATGACGACTGTGGCGGGCCGTTCCTGTGATGTGTGGTGTGGTGGTACATGTGGCTGATGCACATGCTGCCTGGCTCAGGTGGTCCTGGCCTGTGACACCCGTGACAGGGGCAAGTGGTTTACACAATTGAGGAAGCGGTGAGGCCAACTTCCTCCCGTCAGAAGCTGAACCCAGATCAGCACTTATTGGAGATATGACGCTTAATTGTTCAATGCAAAAGGGTGGCACGGGGGGGACAGCGGTCCACAATAACGTGAGAACGTACAGATGTGTGTTTTAAATGCTCTTGAGGGAACACAGGGGTTATTAAGGAGAGAGGATGTAAAACAAACCTGACTTAACATGAACACATAGGAAATCAGTATTCCACATAAACAGGGAGTCTCTGCTCATAGATAAAGGACACAAACAGGATATTCATTGTCTGCGCTTTGAAAAAAACCCCAAAACAAACAGCAGTAAACAAATGTAGAATTATTATGTACAGTTTAAAGAAAAAGCAATGTGAACATTTTTGACTCTGTACGACTCCAAGCAGTTCTTATCATATTAAACAACAAGAAAGCAAACTCATTACATAATAGGTTGAGTTGCGAATGGTTTTAGGAAAAAAAAAATTAATAATAATAATTTTTATGATAATTCCCTGAATTCTCAGGACAACCGGAACATATAAACAATAACCACAGTAAGATTATTTCGAGAATAAGCCTTCCCAAATGACGCACAAACACTGAAGTGCGGTTGTCTGGGCAGGATCAAGCGGGATCCGGATCTGTTTATAAACACACTTTCCGACATCATGTGGCCAAGCTTGTGATCACCCACGTTTTGACAAGGAGCAGGCATCATTTATTTGTGCTTCTTTGTGATCCCGTGTGTTCCTTTAATGATGTGCTCTTGTTTGTGTTAACCTGACACCGACTGACAGTTGCTTTAAGGCCCAGACTGCAGCTAATGAATGAGGTGGCGAACTTCAAGGATAGAATAGAATTCAATCAGCGGTGTATGAATAAATTAGTCTTTGTGGACTAGGATGCTCGAAACATTTGTGCTCAATACACATGTGCAGCCAATTATGAGGCGGCTTAAAAACAAGACCCCGGTCTTGATTCTTTACTTCCTGATCAGCTTCTTGTGCTTCTCCACAGTCACATAATGAGAGAGTACTTCATACATTCACGCATCTCATTTATGACACGCAAGCGACTTGCGGTAACAAAGCTGCCTCATGAACCACATAACCCCAGCGTCAAGGCTATCCCGGCATATGACAAAACTTGATGATGTTTTTAGGATCATTACAAACGACAGATTAGAATGACTTTCTCCTCTGGGATGTTGTGTCACAGACGTGTCTGAGAGGGAGTCTGTCCCAGTTATGTTCACTTTAATCAGGGAGGATTTACTCTTGTGTCTGAACATCAAGCTACAGGAGATTTGGATGGCTAATCACACTTAAGGCGCTGCCCAACACATGCATTACAAATTGAAATCTCACTACAGGTGACTAGACATTGGAAAGCTCTATCATTCACCAGTTAGATGATTCCAGCAGAGATTTAAATTCCTGTCAGCGCCACTAGTCTCTAACAAATATGTTAGTCTGAATTTAATTCATGTTTCGGAAACCACCATGTGACATGTGAATGTACTGTATTACAAATTGAATCGGAAAAATACCAATTATCAGTGGGCTCGATTGCAGGGCTTTGTGGTTTATTTTCCTTGACATTGAAATCGAAATTTGTTGTGGTTTAACTGTTTAGTTTAATTTTGTATTTATATTACATTGGACAATTTGCCGGTGTTGAGGTCGGCGCGCTAAATGCTAACAAGCTAAACATGTGCTATCACACAGAATAATAACCTATGCATTCCAAACTAAGTATTTCAAAGTAACAACCACAATCTTAGTTACACAATATTTTGTACAATCTTAAAACAACTATCGAGATGGCTAGGGTACTATCAGAAAGATATGGATTTGTTACTACAGTATTGTAATTTGTTTTAAATCAATGTGGGTGTCTAATATTAACCTTATAGAGTGGTACCTCTACTTACGAAATTATTTGGTTCTGGAAGAAATTTCTTAACTAGAAAATTTTGTAAGTAGAGACGCGCTTTTTCACCTTTACGTAAAACTATCGGAACGCGAATGGCTAAGACACTGCATAGACACACGTCTATCTACACACGTAGACACATACCGTCGAGGTCCCTCCTAGCCAATGGGATGCCATGATGATGCTTGATAATCGCCAATGGCAGAGCAGCTATAAGTTTGTTGCGTAACAACTAACAGGCCATACTGTATTTTTACCTTTCGTATCTTGAAATTTCTTTCGTAACAAGAGGCAATATTTTCCGATTGAGACGTTTCGTCACGAGAGCCTGGCTCTTGTTTGAACGACAAACTCACGATAGAGTGAAAGGTCTGCTTATGTGCACGTCCTGCTGTCCCTTTAATCAGCTTCAATTCTTTCACTGCACAGCAAACAGCGGCATGTGCTACCTGATGACAAGCATCATATACACAAGGACGGGCAGAGCTGCCCTTAAAAACAAAAACACCTGCCACATTCACACGCGCCCACAAGTCCGACAGCAACTACAAAACATCATGTTATCAAAGCTTCAATGCAAAGTTTTCTTTGAATGTGTTTGAACTGTAAATGAGGCAACTGCAACTGATCAGTTGCGACCTCTGGATTAATCCCAGTTTTTTTTCTTCCTGTGTTTTATTTTTTGAAACCCAAGACTCAAAAAGAATATACAGGTTATGTTAAGTCACAAATACATCAAGGATTGATTTTAAGTTCATTTAAGATTCATCCTGAAATCTCACCCAAGAGATAAAATATTGCCAATTTATTGTGGGTATTATACATTGAACAACAAAGTGCAGTCAATCCAAACATTTCCACTATGCACTTCCACCTAAACAAAGCTCTTCAAATTTCTAAATAAAAAAAATGCATCTATAAAAAGACATCCATTTCCATTTATCTGACGTTAATGGTGTTAATAGCCAACTTCAAGAAAATCAAACAAAGCAGACCGTAGGGTAATTTACTTTTTATGTGTATGCATTCATTTATAGGAAGAACTAGGAGATTTTGTGGGATTCATTGTGATAGTTGACAAAAGGCCACGAATCCACCCTTCCTGTTATTGGTCACTGTGACATGTACGTAGATTGAAACGTAAACATTCACACAAAGAAAATATCAAAATAGAACACATTTCACCGAAATGTCAGGCCATGGCACAGAACAGCGTGGGCGGCGTTGAAAAGCGAAAAGTTAATAACTGACATCAGACATCAGCGTCAGATGGACCGCCTCACGCAGATCGCCACCTTGACGTTGTGAGCACGGCCTCGGATCATATCACACGCCGCCCAAGACTGGCAGGCCGACGATCAAGTTTGGCAGGGCAGCGGCAATCATCTACGCTTCACCCTCATCTGGTTGACGTGACTCGCCCGGGAGGGCCGCCGAAGGGCCGAGCGCCCGCTAGAATGCAAGTCACAGGCCGCAGGCCGTCTTTAAAGGCCACGCACATTTCTGTCTGAATCATTCTATGCGTTCACTACACAAACAGAACGTGCTTGAGGCCCTGGTCATCGATGCGCATCGTAAGCCTCGTTCAGGTACTGCCCCGTATGAAGGGAGAACTGGATTTAAAAGGCAGGGTTTTGTTCCAATGAGGTGATCGGTGTCCCTGCTTACATGCTCATCATCTCCAGATTTCCATGAAAAAGAGTGTTCTACATATCAATCCAACCTTTAATTAAAAAGCTGCTATATTCACAGTTCCCCTCGGAAGCACGCCAGTAAGACGTAGGCAGGTCTGTTCTTTGCCGTGCGTGGACGGAATGGTGCATTTGGAAAGCAAATGAGCTCATTGTTGCCAGGCTGGAGCCTTTCATCTACCGTTATTGTCCTTAGTGAGTGAGTGACTGTCACCCTCGGGTAAACACTTGATGTTGCCATCAGCATTAGCACCATTACTCATACGCTTGGAGAGATGACTCAGTACCAGTTCAGGGAGGTTCATCTCACATGTGAAGAAATAAAGGAAAGAATGGGAGCGAAAAGGCCGTCGTGTTTCGTTTTTCGATTATACGTCCTCATATTTTGTTTCAAGGTTTTCCAGACACGTTGGACTGACACTCGTCTGCATGTGTCAAATAAACTCACCAATGTCTTAATTTGATACACGGGTACAAAAAGCAATACTCGATTTGGAGTGACACTGTCAGAGGTACTCATTTAATCCATTCCATAAATATCATTGCGTCACACTGAAAGATGGGTCGAATTAATTACCCCTCGCTTGTCCTGGAGCTAAATAATAATCAAAATATCAGAAAACCACATTACAATCAAGCCACAACCACAATAAGAAACATTGATACATTAGTAGTTCTCCTACTGTGTCCGTTAAAACTGAGCATTCGTTTTGGAAGGGAGAATCTTTGGTATCGAGCTCTATTGTATTTCTTTATGAGCAGATATTCCTGAAGGTTTTTTTAAAAACAAATTTGACATTTAATTATGATTTTAATTAATTATAATTAATTAATTATTAATTAACTTTTGACAATAACATACTGCCGCTATGCTAAAGTGAGCCTTTTATCTGATTTGATTCAAACATTCATCACTCTGACAAACACCTTGTTAATACATGAGGCACAACTACAGAAAAGAGAGCATCTTTAATGATAAAAATAATCGATATCAAAATAACCTTCACAGAACAATGCAAACTGGAGGGAAATACAGGGAATAATATAGTCTGTTTGCCAACAATGATGGACTGTCTTGGATGAATGAATGAAATGAATGAATGAGGGTCTCCAGTGGAAAGCCAAATATTGGGACTGGGGCAGGTCTGCAGGCAAAAAGGCTTCTCGAAAAAGCATACGAAACTGTCCAAGCACGGGGGAGGGGAGGGGGGGGGGTCACTGACTTGCGGCGGCCATCAGTCAGGAAACTGTTTCCTCACTTTGTCAGCCCACTCAGGATCCGTTTGGGACAACATGAGTAGCAGGTGATGAAACTATGAGACGTGGGGAGCAAAAAAAAAATTTTTCCACATGAGCCGCTTGCTCATGGCATCGCTCGTCCTCACCTGACACAAAGACTAAAATTATTTGTTTCAATCTTTGGAAGCCTACTTGATGTTTACCTGGTGCAAACATACATTTACAAAGTATTACACCTCGATGAAGCAAAACTTGATAGCCTTATTAATTATGCTGAGGATTTTTTTTTTTCATTAGAGGGAGGTCCCCGCTTGATGACAGTACCATCACACGAGCGGGTGAACGGATGTCAAAATACACCCAATTATAAAATGGTGCCTCTTGATTAACCAAGCTCCTCTCTGTTCACTGCCATGTTAGTCATGTTAACAGGGGCAGTGCAACGCGTCTGCTGTGAAAGAGCAACTTTTAATGTGGCATTTCACAGCTTATCAAGCAAACATTTTTATATATTTCTGTCAACTTGTGCGGGAAGATAGGTTCACTTACTGATGTCTGATAGTTGGGAAGGAGACGTCCAAAAGCTGTTAGACAGTTTTTCTCTGTCAGGTAACCTCTCTTTACTAATGCTGCTACTGTGTCCTGCAAACAAAGAGAAAAGTCTTCATTCGGGTTTCATTGTCAGTCTCAGCTTCAGTATGCTACACAATACTCTGCACATGTAAAGAATCTTAGCCTTACTGTCAACGTGTGAGCATTACCTTGGAAATTCGACAACACATGTCGGACAGAAATTCACTTGTGATTTCTGATAAAGCTAGGAGCTGCTCATCTTGTGCATCTTCCTCCTTAGTAGACTCTTTGTGCTCACTCTGGTACTGTATCAGCTGGAAAATGGTTCCAACAAGGGGCAGACCTTAGAGAAAAAACAACAACATATTCAGGGATAGAAACTGTCCGAAAATGGTTGCATTTCATCTACTCTGCATGTGCAACCATTGTATTGGGTTATTTATAGAGTTGGTGCTCGAAATTGAATCGGATCTAAATGAGACGGGAGAATTAAACCGATCTCTCTGTATTTGTCACTGGACACGACAGCTGCTTGTTTACTTTAAAGCTTGGCTTGCAGCTGACGTGCGTGACGCCATGCACGCTGTGATCATGACGTCTACGATCCACTGGTGAAAGGAGACTTTGATTCTCTCCTCTTTCATCTACAACCGCTTCAAACAAGGCATATGTTGGAATCGTTGCCATCATTATATTATTGTCAATGTTTTATGCTATGTGTTCCGTTGTATTTTTATTTTATGTGAAATGTTCTGTAAAGTGCTTTGTTATAGTTGCAGCAGTTGTGAAAGCACTATATACAATAAAAAACTTAGTCCGCAGCCCTGATATTTGCTGAAAATTATTTACAGTAGTGTCTTAAAACACAAGTTTAATATAATCATGATTCAAAAGACTTGAATCACATGTCATCTTTCCCCATAAAATTAATGAAAATGTCATTAATCTGTTAGTCTCCCAGAAAACCCACCAAATATTTTTGTAATGTGTTTTTAAGTAAAAGAAAAAAAAAGATAGCACTTTATAATACTGTGCTTCATAAAAACAAAGTCATAACGTAATTAAATTGAATGAAAAGAATTAATCATGGTGCATCATGATTGATTCTTTACAATTGTGCTACTCCTTCTGCTGTGCATGTCTCGGCCAACTTGGGGCAGTATAATAAAGACATGGGTAGTCAGGAAAAAGAGACAACTCCTCAGAAACCTGCGCTAATATTAGAGGCTTTTTCACATCAGATAATAAGTTATGCACGTGAAAATTCTAATATTGTCTGTCCGTGTTGCTGCACCATTAGTGTTGCTTCATGTGACAACAATGCAGATCTATGCTCGTTTTCATTATCATTAAGCTAATTTAAAATGTACGTTTCAAAGCTGTATCTGGAAATATACAATGTGGAAGGTCAACGCTGAGGGAGAGGGTGGAGGGATGGGTTAAACTAAGAAGAAGAAGAAAAAAAAAAGAATAAATTCCCTGTCCCTCAATCTGCAGACCGGTCGGTGGTTTGGGACCCCACGATTTAGAGAACTAAGAAGCACCAGAATATAGAGCTCGACAATGCGCGTACGTCCTGCATACGGAAATATGCACTTGGAATTAAGTGTTATTCAATACAAATACCACGAAAGTGACATACTGCTTGGGGTTTCCAGCAATGGTTGCATGGCCTAATTACACTTACTTGTGTCATCCTTGCTTTCCCACTCCTCATGGAATCCATAGAGCGCTTGTAAAACAGAAAAGGCCTGCACCAAAGAACCTTTCTGTTCCTGCAGAACAACTGCAAGATCATTTGGCTGGCAGAGGTCATCGCAGACAACCTCAATATTATTGTCAATGTTTTATGCTATGTGTTCCGTTGTATTTTTATTTTATGTGAAATGTTCTGTAAAGTGCTTTGTTATAGTTGCAGCAGTTGTGAAAGCACTATATACAATAAAAAAGTTAGTCCGCAGCCCTGATATTTGCTGAAAATTATTTACAGTAGTGTCTTAAAACACAAGTTTAATATAATCATGATTCAAAAGACTTGAATCACATGTCATCTTTCCCCATAAAATTAATGAAAATGTCATTAATCTGTTAGTCTCCCAGAAAACCCACCAAATATTTTTGTAATGTGTTTTTAAGTAAAAGAAAAAAAAAGATAGCACTTTATAATACTGTGCTTCATAAAAACAAAGTCATAACGTAATTAAATTGAATGAAAAGAATTAATCATGGTGCATCATGATTGATTCTTTACAATTGTGCTACTCCTTCTGCTGTGCATGTCTCGGCCAACTTGGGGCAGTATAATAAAGACATGGGTAGTCAGGAAAAAGAGACAACTCCTCAGAAACCTGCGCTAATATTAGAGGCTTTTTCACATCAGATAATAAGTTATGCACGTGAAAATTCTAATATTGTCTGTCCGTGTTGCTGCACCATTAGTGTTGCTTCATGTGACAACAATGCAGATCTATGCTCGTTTTCATTATCATTAAGCTAATTTAAAATGTACGTTTCAAAGCTGTATCTGGAAATATACAATGTGGAAGGTCAACGCTGAGGGAGAGGGTGGAGGGATGGGTTAAACTAAGAAGAAGAAGAAAAAAAAAAGAATAAATTCCCTGTCCCTCAATCTGCAGACCGGTCGGTGGTTTGGGACCCCACGATTTAGAGAACTAAGAAGCACCAGAATATAGAGCTCGACAATGCGCGTACGTCCTGCATACGGAAATATGCACTTGGAATTAAGTGTTATTCAATACAAATACCACGAAAGTGACATACTGCTTGGGGTTTCCAGCAATGGTTGCATGGCCTAATTACACTTACTTGTGTCATCCTTGCTTTCCCACTCCTCATGGAATCCATAGAGCGCTTGTAAAACAGAAAAGGCCTGCACCAAAGAACCTTTCTGTTCCTGCAGAACAACTGCAAGATCATTTGGCTGGCAGAGGTCATCGCAGACAACCTCACACACAAAATTCCAGACAGCTTTTCCTGGTCCTCCACTGGAAGCTGAAGAAACAAATGGGACAATTGTTTCTCGCTCACTGTTCAAAGGAGCACATTAACTGGTACCAACACACGAACAGCTGAAGTTGAAATACATCACAGCTGTGTTTCTCATACTTACCAAACATTTGAATGCCCTCCTTTACAGTAGTTAAGAGCTGCAAGACATGAAGGTAAACCTCCAGGCCATTTGGACTCTCTGCTCTGTGAAAATGAAAACATTTAATTGTAAGGATAAAGAAAAACAAAGTGCAAAACAGTTGAACAGTGAACCTGTATCCAAAATTCAAATTTCTCAATAGGTTGCACTGGGCTAAAACTGAACTATGTCATAGAGAGCAGCATTTCTAATATTTTGCCCACTCCTACAACACCAAAAATTATACATGTAAGAGAGTATCAGTCACTATGTATTATTACTTATGTGAAATCTCATCGAGCGGGTGTTCCGGATGCTGTGGCCAGTGAATTTAAATGACAATAATGCCAAGTGCTACCCACATTTATTACACCTCAAGCTGAAGATTCATACCTAAGCTGCTTGGCAGCCTCAAGAAGGCATGGGGCTAAATCCAGACAGCTGTCACCAGCATCGCCCTCCTCACTAGGCCGAGCTGTGATCCAACCTTTCATCAGCTCCTCATCAAGGTCAAACAGCTTGTCAACGAGCTCGCCGACTTTTTCAAGCAGGTCCGCTGCAATAACAGCACCACTCACGTCAACAATCAATGTTACAAAACAGACAAAGAGTTGCTGACAAGGGCAAAACGTTGTGTAATTGCATTGCTTTTTAATCGAAGATGCAGTGTTACTCTTTATGTACGCATTAGTGTACACATACACCACCCAAAATATTACATAAACCTATAAAATAATCCATGTCATTATTGTTTTGGTTTGTGTTTTTTATTATTATTATTTTTTTAAGTTTGTGACGTTCATGAAATGCTTTGTACTTATATTGTACCACCACGATGGCTGCTGGTCCACTTTATTTGGCTCAAGTGAAATGGAAGTTATGTCATCTTTCACAAACCAGAAGGCATTCTGATAACAAACTGCTTAATAATGTACTACACTGGTACCCCGCCCACTACTAAGCGGTTCAGACAATGGATGTCTGGATGTACATATTTTTGAGACACTTTAGTAGTTCAGCTGTGCAAAAGGTCTGCACACTACTACTGTAGTAATCTTTGTAAAGCCAGATTTTGGTAAAGGATCTCAAAACATTGTGCAGTTGAAGCTATCGCTGTGGCCAGTGAGTGCACATAGCACTGTAGCATATGTATATGTGAGTAAAGGTAAATACTGTTGGTTGAACTGGACATGATGAAAAGGAGGTTGCCGCGCACAGACGTCTGCTGTCGTATTCGCTGAAGCCAAAGGGAACTGACATCTTTTTGGGAAACGCAGGTCAGAATCAACCTGCAAACATCACAAGAGAAAATGAGGCATTTGTTGAAGGTCTGACTCCTTCTCCGAAGATGCTCATGACACCTGCTAGTCTCAAGAAGGGTTGGCGGATCTGCATCCCCCAACAGAAGCAACAGCACAGCCCTGCGGACAAATGGGGATTTGCATCAAAAAAGGATGAATGGCAACTTTGCATGTCTTTGAACGCAGGCAATCATTTACCCCAAATCTTCATTTTGGCTAAGAGTCAAACAAGTGTCTGGAAAGCAAGCGATGTTTCCAAGTATTCCCACGCAAATTTCCTAATGGGGCACAACAAAGAGCTTTAATACATTCTGCAGGCTCATAGGTGATGATGTAGATTTGAGTTAAAAATGAAAATGTTGCAGAGTCAAACAGGTATAACAGGAGCACTCACTGTCAACCGTGGATTACGAGATTTGGCTATCACTCCAAGAAGGATCTCTGGAGCTTTGAACTCCTGCAGGAAGCCAGCCACGTCCTGCACACAGTTAGCGAGTTAAAAAGGATTAAATATAATATTAACTGGATACAGGGCATGACATTCACAACTGCCAAACGTCGGTGAATTTCCACTGTGGCGGTTGACGCCGCAACTCGCACTAGCCATTTTGGCGGGTACAACAGACATTCTTTTATCGATGATCTGTATGGATTACTCTCCACAAGCATTTGGGTATGCATGTGGTTTGTGTTTAACACAATGTCCCCACTAAATTGGAATTGAGTTTGCATACAGTGCACACAACCATAAAGTAATTATTATGTAATGGACAAACGGAAAACGAGAACAATAAAACACCTTATCCATCGCCATGTCCCAAACGCGACACAGATCTTCTTCCTCATCATCAGTGAGATGGATCTGACCATCTGACTCCTCTGGAGATTTTGTGACCATCTGAGGGACACATGTGCCGGTTACAATGTGTGACACACAAAACAGCCTAATGCGCCAAGACTTTCAGATTAACGGTACATCAATACACATTCAAGATTAGTTGCTTTTCCAAACTTTCATTCCCAAGACTGCAAAGAATGAATTTTGTCTCATAACCTGGATGAGGCGGGACAGTGTGCTGAAAAGCCAGTGCTTGCTGTACACTGTGTCGCCAATAGCATCAGTAACTTCAGCCTCATCTCCGTCGGATGTGTCCGGAGGAGGTGATGGGTTACGTTCCGTTTCTGGAGAGAGAGCGCCTCTCAGTGGTGAGCATGTCCCCCCTGCTTCGTCTTCAGCAGCATCAAAACTGTAATCTGAAATTAGAAAAAATGTTGTACACGTATAATATGTGTACAACATGCAAGATTCTTCAAGGGAACGTTATGATGCTTTTCGGCACATAACAAATAGACTACATTAACGTCGCAAAAATAATTTTCCTCTGCCTCAATAATCTGGCAGGTACATTCTCTGAGTGATGAAAAAGGAACATATTTTACGTTACAACTTTAGTAGTCCAAGATAATGTGTGGGCTAATAAGTGACGATTACGAGGCAATGTACAGTACAAACATTGAAGGGCTCTCAATGTCGGCGAATGAATTAGTGTAATGCAATGTGCTATACAACTTTAGCTAGCGGCTAACCATTGGCAGAGTTTTGTAGCAAGCATGTAATGTAAAAATATCGGCTCACCCATTGTTACCGTTTACTTGTTAGACATATTTAATCGGTAACCATTACGTGCAGCATTGAAATCATTGGAGAATTGCTTTTCAAAATATTTCCAGAAAGCGATTTAAATTGCGAGCGCATGCGCAATGTCACAACATCATTGTCTTCTTCGTTGAGTTTCCACAACACAGTTGAACTCAATCACACCCTCTACGGACAATTGAGGGATCGGATGTTTATGGGACTTAACTGTGAGAATCTAAAGTCGTTGGCCAACGGTTTACCGAACATTACATTTGGATTTCTTTGTTTCTGCACATTGACTGGCATCCAGTTCAGGGTGTACTGCCCTAAAACAGCTAGGTTAGGCTCCAACACGCCCGCGACCCTTGAAAGGATAAGCAGATTAGAAAATGGATGGGTGGATGGATGGTTCTGCACATATTGAAACCAAGATTGTGTGCATATCTCATCAAATTGCCCATATTTAAATTAGCTATGTGTACTATTCAGTGCCGATGGTCACCACATAGACAGTGCCACGCACTTCTCTGTATTACAATTGTCATAATCTGTGTAGTTGGGTGTTGTAAAGTTTACCATGTCCAATCTGTTATAGCGAAATAACTGACATAAAAACATTTCGGAAGTTTGAAACGAAACATACTTGTAAAACACCACAGTCAGATTGCTAACTGAACCTTGTTGCTAAATTAGGGTCCACCATGTGCATATCAAAAGCTCACATTTGCCAAAAATGTCGACCTTGTCATTGTCCACCCAGTCAGCAAGCTCTCATATTTTGTTGTGTGCAAGTACATTCATAATAATATACCCTGGCACACCTGGTGAACTCTCACAGAACACTAATGTTGTACAGTGAGCCATAGAACCAATTGCCATACCAAACAAAATATGCATGATTTGTTTGCTTTGTTATGAAAAATGGGGTTATATGAATGCCTACTAAGCCACAGAACTAATCGCCATAGCAAACCGAATAGGATCTATTTGTTTTATTTCTCGGAAATGGGGTCATCACTCCTCAAGAACGATCATTTACCTGTCATGTCAAAGGAACCATATTCGTATGAGTCAGGTTAGCCATTTTCTTTGTACTGTGTACTACGCAAATAGAACACGATGCTCTGACCACACTGTAGAAGCACTGTATGACATGTACTAAGTGTTTTCAAGAATACAGCATACCTGTCAACCTTTCGGAGCGCTAACCCATATAAACTACCAAATAAATCCTTATAAAGAGCAAAAAATCCTTATAACATACCAAAGCATTTTATATGTCAAAATAACGGCAGAAAAAAACCCACGAAATTTTTAATGATATTTATTGTAGATCTCCATAATACAATGGCAGGTGAATGTCTAATCATCATTCTACTTAGTGGCATTACTGTGTTCAGAGTTGTATTCCTGCGTTAGTTGCGCCATTAAACTCCGATATCCATTCTTGAAGAAACCTTCCACTGTGCTTCGTTTTACTTCTCTTTCTTGTTGGTTCCATTGCGCAATATGAATGATAAATGTGTTTCCTTGTAGATTAGAACTTGCTTGTACACTACCGAAGTATGGAATGAATACTCTGCTGTTTTCAACTAGGAACCACGTGATTTACTGGAACGTTACCGGAAATGAAAGCATTCGAGTAGACGAGCACCATTCTGGACAAAAGCAAACGGAACTACCTGTTAGGGGGAAAAAACCCCGAAATTTTCAGAATCCGTATGATTTGTGTGATATGGCCATATACGTAAGATTCACCACAAAATCCGTATAAAATATGGCTAAACCGTATGAGTTGACAGGTATGATACAGTGAGTTTAAGTGTATGGAACTGTAATCAACAAGGTATATTAACAGGGAGGTATGTGTTGTCCTTTAATTTCTCCCTTTTCTCTTATTAATAGCTGACACTTTGAAGTCTGGAACATACACGAAATAGCTTCATAACGAGCAAACTATTGTATTGAGAATCCACTGTAGATATGCAGTCTGGACAGTCAAAGTGGGAGTACAGTAAATGCAAGCCGAGTCTATTCAGTATGCTCTCTAGTTAACGTGGTGAAAGCTACTGGTAATCCTAAATTAACCGAGAAATATTGCAAAGTCAGAACTTGTCCACATGCTAATCAAAACTGCTGTTCAGCAATTTGGTTCATTTGATGTCCTCCTTCGGTCAACACACAATAAAAGCTGTCAGTCAAGAATGACTCCACACATCCTCATCATACAGCTGTCCAATAGTGGGAGTAGTCCGTAACCCTGTTTGCACATGGAGGAGCTTCCACTAAATCACTATTTGGGATCATGAAAAATAACAAGAAGTAATCACAGATAAAATACATCAGTAAACACGTTTTATAGACTTAGCGTGCATGGTGGGATGTGATAAGGGAATATTAAAGATGTTTTAAGCATTTTTGGACTAATATTAATGAATGCATGCATCCAAGCCACACATTGTTCTTAAATGTAGGAAATTTAAATTTTTCCCACCAAGTCCAAATAAATCCAATCAAATCCAACTTTATTGTTCACACATGTAGGTACTTACACATGGGGATTTGGTACCTCTCCAGTTAATAAACCAATTTGTTAAACAACTGTACAAATTATTAACAGTGAGGCAAAAAGTATAGAATGAGAGAAGTCAAATGAAAAGTGTGGTTCTTGATCTGCTCAGTGTGCAGAGTGCCTTGAGATAACTTCTGTTGTGAATTAGCGCATGAATAAATTGAATTGACGAAGTGTTTTAGAGTATATTGATATTGATGATCCCTACCTTGTTAAATTAATGTTAACCATTAAATGAATGTTAATAACTAGAGATGGGTGAGTATCAGGGCATATGTCAAGGTACCAGGCAGTGGCTGCCAATACCAGTTACTGATACCAGTCAATGATGCCCTCTTGAACAATTTTTGTATTTGAAAAAAACGCATTAAGGTGTCTTAGTTCAGTGAAAAATTTAACATGCGTTGTGGAGAATACTTTTCGAAAAATACGAGGAGACAAAATGGTTATTTGATAAAGAGAAACGTATTTATATATTAACATGTTTATGCAAGCCACTGCAACTTTACATAAGCCTTCTGCTAATGATGCAGTCTTTGACCTCAAGCGTTTTGTGTTTAAAGTAAAGGTGCCATATCTTAGATGTGTTTATCCTTTGAGTGTTGGGAACTCCGTGTTTTGAGATATGCTAAAGCTGATACTGGCCTCTGTGATGCTTGTGTGAGGATTGTTTTGTCTTCACGTCTGGTGTGTTTCTGCTTTATTTCATAGGAAGGACTTTCATTTTTACTCTGATACTCATAGGGGACAATAACCTTCATAGAGGGCTAGAAATGGAAAAAAAAAGATCTCCCAATGTATTCATTCTTGGTGACTAATACTCAAGTGATCGCAGCTGATTACCTTATTCATTTCATCTTGTTCATGAAAATCTCTCAATTGATTTGCAAGCAAATTTGCTTAATGATGTCACAAGGAGGATGTGGGTATTATTACATTGGCGTCAGACATCCATTCAACACGTTTTCCATGTGGTGGCAATAAAACTTGCCTGAAAGAAGGTGTGATCAAATTGAGCAGTCTAAATATAAGGAGCTGCAAGAGAAGAGTCAGCCAATGTGACTTGCATTGATGATGGGAACTGTGGCAGCCATGAGGTGGAAATGTGTCACTTTCTATTTTCTCACTTTGTTTGTTGTCACTGAAGTCAAGGCCAGACTGGGTAAGACCAATCAAACACTTTTTTTGTCACTTCATCCGAAAACATAATCTCACCCCCGACTGTTTTCTATCTCGTTCAGTCAGCAACCATGTCAGCAGTATCTGCAGCACATGGGGGAGAGAGCACTTTAAGACATTCGACGGCGACGTTTACCAGTTTTCCGGCGCGTGCGAGTACAACCTTGCTTCCGACTGCCACGAGGCCATGCAGGAGTTCTCGGTGCATATGAGGAGGGAGCAGAATGATGGGAACCCCACTGTGGCTTATGTGGTGGTCACGATCAACGACCTTGCTTTCCACCTCACCAAGGAAGCGGTCACGGTGAATGGACAAACGTAAGTTGAAAAACGAACCAAAAAAAAAATAAAAAAATCAAGTGGCTCCTCTTTTGAGTTTATATAATGAGATGTCTCTTGTGTTTTAGGGTCACGTTGCCATACTATAACAGTGGAGTTCAAGTGGAAAATAATGCCGTCTACATCAAACTGCAGTCTCAAGTCGGCCTTGTGGTCATGTGGAATGGCGACGATGCAGTCATGGTGAAGATCAGATTTTTTTGCAGACTTTTCAATATTCGTGTTTTACGTTACAATACTTTTTTTTAATCTTTAAATTTTGTACAATTTAAAATGAACAGATTATTTTTAAAGCTGTATTTGGAACAAACATGATGTTTGCATCTGTGGAACAATTTAAATGCATACATTTGAGATTCTAAATGAAATACACAACTTAAAATCAGTCTTGTATCCGAATGAATGCTACCACCATTCCTTAGCTGAGACTGGTAAATAATTGTTACCTATAATTTCTTTCATCTTCCATGATGACTGTGAAGTTACCAACTTTATTTGACCCTATAAAAACCACCTTACACATAATTCATCTTATTCTTCTTCAATGATCTCTGTCATTGTAGGTTGAGGTGGATCGTGATTACGCGAATCGCACTTGCGGACTCTGTGGCGATTACAACGGCGTTCCGGTCTACAATGAGTTGATTTACAATGGTCAGTTTGCGAAATTGTTTTTTTTTTCTTCATTTACCCACCACCACCATTTGACAGTATAAATGAAATCCACTGCAGATCGAATAATCAGCCACATTGAATTTGGCAATAACCAGAAGGTTCATCACCCAAATGATGATTGTGAGGACCCCTTTGAGGAGTTTGGAGAACTTGAAGATGTTCCAGCTGTGGATTCATGCGAGGAGTTTGTGAGTTTCCTTTGCGTTGTGTTATCAAAAGTATCATACTATTCGACACATAAGTAACACTGGGCCGATTGCTTATCCGTTTCTCTTTTAGAAAACAACCTGCAACCAAATGTTGCATTCAGAGCCTTGGAGCCCCTGCGCGCAGCTAATTGACCCTGCGCCCTACGTGCAGGCTTGCGCGCAGGACATGTGCGGGTGCAGCAACCGCACCAATGACACCTGTGTCTGCAGCACCCTATCCGAGTTCTCTCGACAGTGTTCCCATGCTGGCGGAATGCCTCCCAACTGGAGGACACCAGAGTTCTGTGGTAAAGTTTTACTTCCTGTATTTTATTGTCAGATCTTTAGATTAAAAGGATTTAAAATAGGGTGTTGTACTTGGAAAATTACAACAATGTCATGTCTGATATTCTTTTGCCTCCAGTTTCTTTCCGCAGCAACAATTAGCAACCACATTAGATGTTTGTTGTTGATTCTAAATTCTGTCAAATGAAGCAAGTTTAACATGAGCAGACACCCCAAAAAAATAATACTGATTATTTGGATTATTCTTCCTGGGGTCGTAACATGTTTTGCATGACTGCTTTTTCCAAAGCAGAATGCATACGTTTAAATACTAACTGTCCCATCGGCAAATGGAAAAAAACATTTGAAATTCAAACAGAAATACACCAATCAAAAAACATTTAGTTCACAAAAAAAAAAAAATTCACAACTGCGTTTTTGGAATATCAGCGGAAAACCGAGTATCCGGAAAAAAATCCACGGGGGCATGAGGAGAACATGGAAACTCCACACAGGAAGGCCTGCTCCTAGAATCGGTGGATCCTTTCCCCCCCCCCCCCCCCCAAAAAAAAAAAAAAAAAAAAAAAACAAGCCACCAGTAACAACAATGTTACTCGTATTAATCCACAATTCCACATCTCACTCTCTTTCTCCACAGCCAAACAATGTCCTTACAACATGGTCTACGAGGAGAGCGGTTCTCCTTGCATGGACACGTGCACACACCAGGATACCAGTTCTTTGTGTGAGGAACACCGAATGGATGGCTGCTTCTGCCCCACTGGTCAGTCCTACATTTCATTTCATTACATTTCATTGACATTTACATTTCAATCCAGGTTCGTGCTAATGCTATGAAATCAAATTTTCTCAAATTCTTTTACACGTTTTAGGCACTGTATTTGATGACATTTCTATGAGAGGGTGCATTGATCAATCGGAGTGTCAGTGCAAGCATGGAAGAATCTATAACTCGAGCGAGGGCTACCAACAAGACAGAGAGATATGGTAGTTGAAATGTTCAATAATGTTGTAATATTACCCATGCCGCTTGATCATGTGTTTAAAGGACATGTGTTATCTCAGTACATGTTTTCAGGGCAGATGGTCTTGTGAGTATCTTCAGGGCCCGGCCACGTGCGCAGTGGAGGAGGGTTCCCATATAACCACCTTCGATGGCAAATCTTACACCTTCCACGGAGATTGTTATTACACACTAGCCAAGGTGGAAAGCAAGGTAAATTAATTTGAGCTTTGATTGGTAGAGAAATGAGCGGCCAGAATCTGTCACCGTGACTTCAATCCCCATTTGAATGTCCATGTGTGTTCCTGCAGGATGCCTCCAGTCCAAAGTTTACCATCCAGGTGCAGTTAGTGCCTTGTATAAACCACCAGTTTGATACTTGTCTCAAGGCACTTAAAATCCTGCTTAACAATGACAGAAACAACGTGAGTCGTGAATCGTTGTCAATGCGTCATGCCTGTTGGATGCACCATTTAACTGATTAAGTGTGTTGGTTTTTAGGTGTTAACGTTCATTTCTGATGGGACGGTCAAGCAGAACCAGCAAACCATCACGTTGCCGTATCATACAGGTGAGTCGCACAATCCAACCCTCGTCTTTACTTTGTGCCCTTACGTCATCAAGTGATACTATTTGTTCTTGCGTTTGTATTTCATCAAAGCGGACATCAACATATTCCATGCTTCATCTTTTCACATCCTACTTCATACGAGTTTTGGGTTGCAAATTCAGATTCAGCACGTGCCTCTTATGCAAGTGTATGTGCGGCTGAACGAGAGCTACAACGGAAAGACGCGTGGTGAGTCATACATTTCTAAAAAATGTCAAATATATTATCAGCTCTGGATACTAAAGTAACAGTTGGAGTAATAAAACAGTTTGCAGTGTCCAATCTGTACAATAGGAAACTTTGCACACAGTACTATGTATCGGAGCTGTCATAAAGCTCCTCAAATTGCTGAATGTGTTGGGGACAGAAAAACTTTATACAAGGTGTCAGTTGTCGACCCAAAGGCAAGAGAATGATATATGCTTACAAAAACTGCAGAGCTGTCAAACCTTGGCAGCCTCACGTCTCCCTGAATGATAACTAATGATGAAATGGATAAAAGGAAGTCTATCGTGACTTTTCCGGATGCCTTGTATATCGTTTCCAGTAATCCTGGCGTATCTTTGAGTGGATGGGTGACAGAGCCTGTCACAGTAACACCAACATTGTGTGAAACTTAAGTTTCTTTATTTCATCAGGTTTATGTGGCAACTACAATCTGGTCATGTCTGACGAATTGAAAACCCCTCAGGGGATTGTCGAGGGGACAGCCACCTCGTTTAGCAACACCTGGAAGTCCAACCTCATGTGCCGAGACACGAGGGAAAGACTTGATGACCCCTGTTCTCTGAGTGTGGAAAATGGTACACGTCAAATCCGCTTGACCCTTTGTGTTTGTTTGTCATCATTGTAAAAGATGGTTTGCACATTTTCCAGACTTGTACGCCAAACATTGGTGCGCCTTGCTGTTACGCCCAAATAGCACCTTTGAACAGTGCCATTCCTTAGTGGATCCTGAGGCATACTACAAGGTATGGTCCTTAATTTAATACAGTCAATTCTGCTCCATTAATAAAAATAACTCATCTCAGTGAGTCATGGAAGGATGGTTTATCTTGTTTTTTTTTTTTTTCTTGTTTTATTTCGGTCACCCTTCCAGTGAGTCATGGAAGGATGGTTTATCTTGTTTTTTGTTTTTTTTTTCTTGTTTTATTTCGGTCACCCTTTACAACTTTTGACAATAGAAATGCCGGCTATTACTGTCGTACTTTATGAAGTGAATCAAACTGAAGCCACGTTTACAACAAGTACCTAGCAGTGTGTGCCGTATTCCGCAGCGGTGCACTTACGCCAGCTGCAACTGCGACAAGAGTGAAGCCTGCTTGTGTGCTGTCTTCTCCTCCTATGCCCGAGCTTGTGCATCGAAGGGAGTCTTCTTGATAGACTGGAGAGCCAACGTGTGTGGTAAGAGCATTCTGTTGTATTGCTCTACGTGCTATAAAGTGGGGCCTCTGCATAGATTTTTTTCCCTATATGTTCAAAGATTTTGGATTCCAATTTTATTGAAAATAGATGGCTGTATAGTTCGTAATTATTTGTAACTTTTTTTCTGGTAGAAAGTATACTATTGGAGACAAAAGCTCCATGTTTCAATGTTAATATTTCGCCCCATCCCTCATGGCTGTCATGATTCTTTTGTGACCAACAGGTGGCACTGTAGGGTTCCCCCTGCAGCTGCACACCTGTTGGTTGTTATGTAATTATTTGTATAAAAGGACTCCCGCCTGACTACTCATTGTCGGCTCATTATTTGCTTGTTTGCTGCTGTCAGGTTTGTTTCAGTCATGTTTCGGTCACTGTTATGTTTTAGCTTCAGTCATGATTTTTGTTTGATACTTTGGACTTTGTTTGTTTTCGATTTAGTTTTCTCTATGTTTTAATTCAATCTGTCAAGTTGCGAGGTGGTGGTGCACCCCAAAAAGCAGGCAGGGGGGAGGAGCAGGGTGTACTTGACAAATTGTATTAAAACATAGAGAAAACTTAGATCCAAAACATACAAAGTCCAAAGTATCAAACAAAAATCAAGAATGAAGCTAAAACATAACAGCGACCGAAACATGACTGAAAAAAACCTGACAGCAGCAAACAATGACCCGACAATAAGTAGTCAGGCGGGAGTCCTTTTATACAAATAATTACATAACGACCAACAGGTGTGCAGCTGCAGGGGGAGCCCTACAGTGCCACCTGTTGGTCACAGAATCATGACAATGGCAAGCCATTGGATCCCGTCAAGATAATTTGGATAGCTAATTTGTTCATAATTAATCTGTGGCGATCTCCTATTATGTACAATGTAATGTAACTTTTCTTGCATTCTTCTACAAACAGACAAATACACAAGGACCTGCCCACAATCTCAGATCTTCTCGTACAAACATCAACGATGCGAGCTGACCTGTCGATCGTTGAGTTCAACATTGCAGACTTGCAACTCTGACTTCCTGCCCGTGGATGGTTGCTCCTGCCCCGAGGGTCAATACCTTGATGACCATGCCATCTGCATCCCCAAAGAAAAGTGTCCCTGTTATCACAATGAGGCCATCATCCCGCCCGGGAAGTCCATCAACATCAAAGACGAACACTGGTTAGTTTAACGAATTTAAGGCATACACTCAACAGTGTTGTTATTAAAAGGGACTTTTACATTTTTGTTGCCCTATTTGGCTCAAATATGGCGGTAAAATATTAGAAACATCTCTCAATGTGATGAAGGGCAGCTCTATTATTTAAATTTTAGAAACGTATTATTCAGTGACTTTCTCTGACACTGTCTATCCAAATTTAGAAATATAATTGGAGTAAGAGATCTTTTTAGATTGTGGACATGCACCTAATATTGTGGCTGATGAGTGTACTTTTCTCAAGTATACAGACCACGCTTTTTTTTTTTTTTTTTTTTTTTTAATTCTTACAATCTGTATACGGTTTGTGTCTGTCTTCAGTGTGTGCAGTAATGGGGTGCTGCATTGCCACTCTTGGAGAGCCCGCTCATCAGGTAAGTCATGTTTGTTTGTGTAATTTTTTTTGCATTGTCTGAAGCATTTGGTTGAACAATACAAAAATTCTTCCTATTTTTTAGTATGTCCTCCACACAAAGTGTACTTCAACTGCTCCAGTCCTGGCTCAGGACAACTTGGAGTCCAGTGTGCACCAACTTGTTTAAATCTGGACAGCGATGATTGTGTGAGTTCTTTTTTGCCCAGTTTCCCTCACGTCTGGGAACAGTTCCAGTTAATTATTCAGGTAGCTCTTTGGTCTTTCTTGGCAGGACTCCAACGATTGTGAATCGGGCTGTCAGTGTCCAGATGGGCTTTTTGACGATGGCAGAGGTTTCTGTGTAGAAAAGTCACAATGTCCATGTAAACATGATGGAAAATTCTATGCTGCCGGAACTCAAATTCCAAATCAGTGCAACACATGGTATGATAATATTTTTGCTCTACAATGTGTGTGTGTGTGTGTGTGTGTGTGTGTGTGTGTGTGTGTGTGTGTGTGTGTGTGTGTGTGTGTGTGTCAAAAATTATGATTGTTTTACATAATCGGCTTATTTTTAATGTTCGTAATCCAGTATGTGCAGAAGTGGAAAATGGGAGTGCACAGAAGAAAAATGCCCTGGAACCTGCATTATTTATGGAAGTGGTCATTATAACACATTTGATCAGCGGACGTATGGCTTTCAAGGTCTCTGCAGCTATGTTGCAGTCAAGGTTAGTAGAATACCACAAAAATCGAGTTTGTTGAAATACCGAAGCTTTTTATGCCCTTTTAGTTAATGAGGAGCACTGTTGTCAAATTACCGAGTTTGAGTAATACAGAAACCAAAACAAGATTTCTCAATAAAGGATTACTTATTATTGATTTGTAATTATATTATTGCGTGTCTCCATTTTAAGAACAAATGTGGCAATAAAACAGCACAGGACAACATTGGAGTTATCACAGAGAATGTCCCATGCGGCTCTACAGGCACCACATGCTCGAAAACTGTCCGAATCCAGTTGGGGGTAAGACTTTATGCAACGCCAAAATACTGTAATATAGGACACACTTGAGTAGATTGACAGTGTTCATAACACAATCAACATGAACTTTGTTTTACATTGCAGCGAATGGAAATCAAACTATTCAAAGGAAAGTATGAAGAGGTCGACCTGGGACAAGGAAACCAAATCAAGTACACGATTAGGACGGTGGGCATGTATGTGGTGGTCGAATCTGTCATTGGCATGGCAGTGATGTGGGATCGCAAAACAACTGTTCGCATCCTTTTAGAACCTCAGCACAGTGTAAGTTGAATTCTAACGTATTATATCCGGTTTATTAATGAAGGAATATCGTGCTCTCAAAGTTACATCAAGACATTGTGAACTCCAAATTCAACAGCATCGGTGTGAATATTAATATTTGTATTTGTTTCTATGTATGAGCCCTGCAATTGACTGCCAAGTAACACTTTAATGCTGAAGAATAATTTCAGAAGTGTACTAACTCATTTGTTTGGCTGTACAGGGAGAAGTATGCGGCCTGTGTGGAGATTTTGATGGCAATGAACAAAACGACTTCACCATTCAGGGTCAGCTGCAAGTGACAAATGTGTTAGAATTTGCAAACAGCTGGAAAACCAGCAGCAATTGCCCAAATGTGGAAACACACGTTGACCCGTGTACGGCAAAACCTTCTCGTCACCACTGGTCGAAAATGATGTGCGGCATTATAACTGGAAAAACCTTCCAAGCATGCCACAATACGGTAATGGAAGATTTGTCTTCAAAATGTTTGAATTAGAAAGTACACAGTTTATCTGATTGGGCATATAATTTGTCTGAACAGGTGGATCCGCTTCCGTTTTATGAAAACTGTGTGAAAGACTCATGTGCCTGTGACACTGGAGGCGACTGTGAATGTTTCTGCACAGCAGTTGCAGCCTATGCTCAAGCTTGTAATGAGGCTGGTGTATGTGTTGCATGGAGAACACCAGACATCTGCCGTGAGTAAATTTTATCAATTGGTCCTTAACAACAGAAATGAGTTTGAAATGACCAGTGTTCATTAATTCGAACTTAATAATGAGCTGTCAAAAGTTTTTTTTTTCTAGTCTAAAACATGATATTCACATTTTTGCAAGTGATAAACTCCCTGCAGTTAGAATTAGTAATCCGTATCTTTGTTACATCTTGGCTAGATGACTGTGATGCACTTTATTTGGAGTCAGTCAGTCCTCCCTCAAGAATCTCCAGTTGGTCCAAAATGCTGTTGCTCGCTTCCTAACTGCACGTGACTCCAACTCTGGCCTCCCTTCACTGGCTCACTGTAAATTTTAGAGTTCATTTTAAGATAGTCTTATTTGTTTTCAAATCTTGAAATGATCTGGCCTTGCCTTACATCTCTTCCACCCATACGCACCTGCCTGGTGCCTCAGATCTGCAGACCAGATTTTATTGAAGGGACCAAGGACGAAGCGGAGGCTCAGAGGGGATCGAGTCTTTTCTGTTGCCAGTCCTTTCCTTTGGAATGACCATCCGTTAAATGTTTAGAAGCCCCCTTTCTGTCCATTTTCAAAACACATTAAAGGCATATTTTTATTCACTGTCATTTAACTCAACTTATGGTGTCGGCTGTGTTTGTGTTAGTGTTGAGTATTTGATAAATTGATTAATTGATTGATTGATGAATGAATAGATTGGTTGATTAATTAATTTGTTAATATTATTGCTGTCATGACTTTTATGCAGCCAGTATGGGATCCTTTCTAGCTCAGTGAATGTAGGTGGAAGTGATTGTCTCTCTTTGTGCTTGACTGGCAACTATGAGGCTTACCTGTAACCCTAAACTGGATAAGATGAATGAATGAATTGACAATTTGAATTTTTTTTCTCTTCTTTGCCCTTAGCTGTCTACTGTGATTACTATAACAACCCAGATGAATGCCGGTGGCACTACAACCCATGTCATCAACCTTGCTACAAGACCTGCTTGAATGTTGAGGGAATTTGTAGCAACCCCTTACCCAACCTGGAGGGTAAATTTATTTAATGATCATATTGAGTTAATTAGAGGATCAAATGATGATTAAGTACATTGATGTGACATGAACACATTAAGACATTCATTGAATTCCTATATACTAATTTATTTGCAGGTTGTTATCCTGTGTGTCCAGAAGATAAGCCCATATTTGATGAAGATCACCAGATATGTGTTGAAGAATGTGAAGGCTGCTTTTACAATGGAACAAGATATGAGGAAAATGAAGTTATTTACAATGTGACTGACAACCTTGGAATGTGCTACTATGCCATATGTGTAAATAGAACAGTAATATTTGAAAATGAAACCTGTGCTACGACAACACCCCCTCCACCAACAACTCCTGTAACTGAAGGGCCGACCACTACCACTGAAGAAGTAACCAGAACAACAAGGTCCACGACTACTTTATCAACAGAATCTCCGACTGCAACTGAAGGAAAAACTACGACCACAAAATCAACATCAGTACCTCCTTTAAGTTCAACAACAGTTGAGGAAGCTGTAACCATACAGACTACCACCCCAGCAACTGGCCCTGTTGTGACTGCAAGTACGACAACTATAACAAAATCTACAACAACCACAATAGGACCCACCACGACAACTGAAGGTTCAACGACAACTACATCCGCAGGACCAAGCACCACAACTGAAGGTCCAACAACAACCATACCCTCGGGACCCACTACCACAACAGAAGGTCCAACTACCACAACTAAATCTACAACCACATCCGCAGGACCAAGCACCACAACTGAAGGTCCAACTACCACAACTAAATCTACAACCACATCTGCAGGACCAAGCACCACAACTGAAGGTCCAACAACAACCACACCCTCGGGACCCAGTACCACAACAGAAGGTCCAACAACCACAACTAAATCTACAACCACATCGGCAGGACCAAGCACCACAACTGAAAGTCCAACTACGACAACTAAATCTACAACCACATCCGCCGGACCAAGCACCACAACTGAAGGTCCAACAACAACCACACCCTCGGGACCCAGTACCACAACAGAAGGTCCAACTACCACAACTAAATCTACAACCACATCAGCAGGACCAAGCACCACAACAGAAGGTCCAACTACCACAACTAAATCTACAACCACATCAGCAGGACCAAGCACCACAACAGAAGGTCCAACTACCACAACTAAATCTACAACCACATCAGCAGGACCAAGCACCACAACAGAAGGTCCAACTACCACAACTAAATCTACAACCACATCAGCAGGACCAAGCACCACAACAGAAGGTCCAACTACCACAACTAAATCTACAACCACATCAGCAGGACCAAGCACCACAACAGAAGGTCCAACTACCACAACTAAATCTACAACCACATCGGCAGAACCAAGCACCACAACTGAAGGTCCAACTACCACAACTAAATCTACAACCACATCGGCAGAACCAAGCACCACAACTGAAGGTCCAAC